ATATCTCTATTTTGAATCAAATTTTATAATAAATTATTGTACACCAACTTCTAATTGCATCCCAAAACCATAACCTCTTCGTTTTTTCCATAAAGTCAATCCCTTCCTTGAGCAAATCTATTTATTGAATCAATACTTCTCCTGTCTCTTAATAATTGACTTTACGATATTTAAATTCTGCTTTCAGTTATCATTTAATTATCACGCAGTATTATAAATACCAGGTCATTATTTTTTGTCCTAATAGAATAACTGCCTGGTATTTATTATAGTATCTCGTATCTTTAAATTAAATGGGTCACCATTTATCTTTTGATATCAATTCATATTTTTTTTAACTTTTAAATTTATAATAGATTTTGAATTAATTCATTTTAACAACTATTCATATACACCAGTTTCTAATACTCCTTATCGATACAACTTGTCTCCTTCTCCTATTAAATAGTTCTTCGAAAATGATTTAGTGTTAATTAAAAACTTTAAGAGATATATACTTACAATATGTTGTTAATTTAGATAATATTTTTTTCCTTTCATATTTCAACATTTACAAATCTTATCTATTTCTTAAACTTATCCACTCATTTTCTCTTACTAATACAATCTAATAGTCATTATAAAAGATTTATAATAAACATTATATAATTTACAAGACGTGATAAGTTCTAATTTTTACCTAAGTCTAATCATTATTTACTATTTGTTTTTACCAAAGAACTATTTGTATGGTATAATTCTATATTAAAGGCCTTCCTTTTAAATACTGATACAAATTCAGCAATATAATTCAAGCAAGTGTTAAATATATTTTTCCGTGCTGTCTTATTCAAGGGCTTTGTGTAATTAATGCCACAATATTATTTCATTATTTTTGAAAAGATTTCTAACATTGATCTTTTAGATTTAGATTTAGACCAAATCTCTTTTTCCATTGTTAATGAACCGAATTGATTGCCCAAAGTGATTCTTAATATTTTATAGAGATCAATTCATTTTAGATTAATAATTTATCTTTTTGATAGCCCTAATTTTTCCAGCTATATTGGGAGCAGGAAAGTATTTATTTTTACATTTTAGTATTTATTATTATCTGTATAAGCACAAGAAGCCTTATCCATCTAATTACTTTATCAGAACTGAATTAGAATTGAAAATTTAAATAGACTCCTTATTGGATTGAATAAAAAATAATAATGTAAATTCTAAGAAGCCAGATGTTGTTCAATTAAAAATATTATTATTAATGATTAATTCAGAATTTCTGTATATGATAATACTTTATTCAATCATTTTTACATTTAAAATCAAATCATTAAGGCAGGTATAGACAAGTTTGATATAAAATGATTATCTGTAGGTTATTTTAAAGAACAGACATTACTTTAAAATGTACTTGAGTGAAACAATTTGTTTTTTGCTGAAAAATTAGTCTGTGGAAATGAAATTACGTTAGTAAGATTTATATAGAGTTTGATACCACATTACAACAACCTTACACTTATATAAGTTAGAGTTACAAGTGCTAAACAAGAGATAAATCCAAATAATCAATAAGTTTAAGGAATAAAAACTCAGGTCTTCTAAATCAAATCTATAAAATGATATTTGGACCCCACTTTAGATATGAGTCCAATGGATATATTAATGCTTCAATATATATGATAATTGGATCACAAATGAATGTGAATAAGATTAATAAATGCATTTAGACCACTTAAATGAAGAAATCAATTTTAAATTCTTAAAGATATGGGATATAGTTAGATATTCAAAAGTCGTATGGCTAACCCTTGTAAAATGAGATATTACTTCCAATACATTAATCAACTGCTAATAGAATAAAATATTTCTAGTTTGATTTTCTTTATTAAAAGCATATATATAATTATTAAGTTTTAATATTAGCAGTTCATATATATAAATATCATTAAATACATAAATAGAATTAAAAATTATAATAATTATATGTAACAGATATAAGAACTTGGGATAAAATGTCCTGTAAATGATCATGATTATGCATATATGGTTTGTTTAGATAAAACATGTAAAGATATTAGAGTGTTTTGTGATTCATGTGATAGAAAAGGAGAACACGCTAGTTGTCGTAAAGATCATTAAAAATTATAAACAACAATTTCAAAATTTTAGGAAATTGAAAAAGAAAGTGAAAGTTTAAAATAAGATTTGTTATTGACAGCTAAGGAATTATATAAACTGTTCACTTAAATAATTTAAATAATTACAAAGAAATATCAATACTCAAAATAGAGATTGGAAAAATTAAATGCAATACAATTACATTAAGCCTTAGATCATATCATTAAATATGATGAATTTTAAAATAAATATTTATAGGAAGTTAAGTAATGTTCTAAAAATATGATTTTGTAATTGGAAAACATAATAGCAGAGTTGAAATTAGAGAACATAGTTGATACACAAGAATTAGATCCTAAAGAAAAAGTAGAACATTTTTATTAAAAAGGTAATGAATTATTAATTTAGGATATCAATTATATTCTGAAGACGATAACTACGAATAGGCAATTAAATTATTAGATTTGTCATTACTCATTGATCCAAATCATATTAATTCTTTATTTATAAAAGGTGTAAAATAATATATAGTATTAGCTGACTGCCTAAGATTGCTTGGTAATTACACTGATGCAATAACATGGGCAGATAAAGCTTTATCTGTTAATTCAAAACATGTCGATTCATTACATACAAAGGGTATAAAATTTACTTTAATGTATTATTAGCTGGCGCTTTATTAATGCTTGATAATCCCATAGAGGCATTACGATTTGCTGATAAAGCTTTGTCAATTGATCCAAAGCATGCCTATTCAATACATATAAAAGGTTATTTTTCTTTTCTAAATAGGTGAATCGTTAAGATTGTTGGATTAATATGAGAATGCCATTAAGATTTTAGATCAAGCATTGCATTACGATCCAAATTATGTATATTCTCTCGCGAGCAAAGGTTTATTTTTATTTTTATTTATTAAGGAGCATGTTTATAATCACTAGAAAAATATAATGAAGCCATTTAATCTTACAATAAAGCTCTTCAGATTAATCCAAATTTTTAATGGGCTCAAGATAAGAAAAGTATATATTAATTAATATAATATAGCTGAATGTGAGAATTAATTAAAGAAAAACCCATGAATCAAATGATAATTTTATATTATATATTGGCAAAAGTCACTCAACCATATATATTTAAACTAATTTTCAACAAATTTTAGAATAATTGACTTATCTATAAGTCTTAATTTTTCCTCTTGCATGCAGTAATAATTAATTCTTAATCAGGAAATTATTACTATATGCTAATTTGTCCTGAGCCATCAAAATCAAAATTTTTGTATTAAATTTTCACTTATTTCATTGATGTTTATGAAAAAATTATTGTATCACTGATTATATTTATTTAAGGAATTTCAATTTTGTTTATTTTGTATCAATAGTTAAAAAGAAGAATATTATAGAGAATGAAAATATTATTAAATTTTTTTAATAGAGTGGATTAAAATTCAGATTTTATAGATTGTGATACTGTTTAACATCAATATTCATTAATTGTTAAAGATGTGCTCTCTGTTTTAGTTGAAAGCAAAATGTTTGAACTGAAATATCATTGCTTATCTCATCTGAAAATTTCGTTAGTCTTATCTGATACGAATTTTCTAAAAATAAAAAAAAATTAACATGGATTTCAATCATATTTTTTTATCATACATTATTTAATTATTCAAAATTAAAAACTAAGAACACTAACAAATCTAATCCGAAATATATTATTAGTCAATTGTTTTCAGAATATTATATTGCATAAGGTAATTTATTTTGATGTTAAATTTATTTTTAATTCAAAAACATATTAGTTGATATAAAGGAATTTATAAGAAGTAGGAGTAATGAATTAATCTCAAAATTAAGGATATTTAATTCGTTTATTTTTATGAAATCATACTTCAAAAAACATTTCCTATCTAAATTATTCACCTGCGTTTTTTAAGATTTGACCTTTCCAAGAGGCTTTCCATTTTCCAACTTTTTTGAGATTCTATCCATACTAACCATGCCATTGAAGATATTTGATCTATTCTAAATTATTTAGGATTTCAGGAGGTTTTTATGGCTCTTTATTGTGATCACTAAATTTTAATTAATAAAATTAACAGTCTCAATATTTAGCCATCAGTAACATACTTGACTTCTTCATTATTATTGATTATAATTTAGAATTTGGTCCTCAAAAATTGATACCAAAACAACCTCTCACCTTCGTACTCCTTAAATTAATAAATTTTAAACCTTTGTTATCATCATTAGAAATTAGAAGATAGATAAATTAATTTAATTTTAATTTATTCAACCTTAATTATAAGGAAATATTTTAAAATTTAAATAATTCCTTATCTAAATAAATTATATTGTCTTAGCAGACTAATTCATAAATGTAAAATCAAAACTTTTTGAGATTTATTATTCATTAACTATTTGTGAGTAATTTTAAAACTAGTTTTTACTAGATGCTGTGTTTAAAAGTCAACGATGCTTATTGATTATAATGATTATAACATGTTCCAGCTTTTACAAAATGTTTGCAATTATTAAAGTTATGCATTTAAAGAGAAGAAAACTGGATTATTATTTCAAGTATCTTCATTAATTCGAATGAAGGTTTTTTGATTAAGTACAAATAGTGTGTACAATATAGAAATAAAGTAATTGTTTTTGTGAAGAATAAATTCTTATTTAAATAATGCTTTAAGGTTGCCAGTTTAATTGTATACAAAATGAATATTTATTATCAATGCTGAGTAATTGAAGTGCTTCTAATTAATGAATCCAATATTTTTGACCTTATTTTATTCTATTATTTTAACTTATGAAAGTATTATGCAAATGAAAACGCTATAAATAATAATTTATAAAAATTGCATGGATATTCCATTTTATCGCTAAAATGAAATTAAAATAAATAAACTATAAAAAATTAGAAACAGATTTTTATAATTTATTAAGCTGCTTTTGATTAAACTGATCCTATTTATTCAAAAGTAATGCTTAAAAATAACAACTAATAAATTTCGACCAAAGTAAATTGTTTTTGTTTCTATATTTATTATTAGTGAATTATTTCTAGATGAAAGAAGCATTCGATTTTGAGAGTAGATCTCATTGCATTATAATATATTTATGATTCATATGATAATATATATAATATAATTAAATTACATGTTAAATCATTTACTAAAACTCATATTGATAATAGAAATTACTAATCCCATATGATTTTCATTAATGAAACTCTTTATAAAATTCAGTTAAATGATGATTCGAAAACTCCAGTCGAATCACTAGACTGTAATTAGCCTTAATCATTTAAAGTTGAATTTTAAAACTAATGAAACTTAATTTGCTACATATTATCTTAATCGGCATGATTCTCTATCGCTCTGATTTTATACACTTAGAATAGTTAGAGTTTTAGGTAGAGTCAAGAAGTTAATTCTGCAGTTGCCGTTGTACACCTTTAGTGGTCTAATCATTAAATGTCACAGGGTTATCCCTATTATATCATTATATTTTACATTAAGTTATTTTCATAAATTCAAATCAGTTAATAATTGTAAAGAGGATGAGAGCGATATATACTAAAAAATTCAGACGAAATCGAAGATGCCTTAACCCCTAATAATTGATAATCTAAATTCTAATCAACATTCATATTCATTAATAACTTATTGAAAGTTAACTTTTTAATGTGATAAAGTACAAGCTACTTGATAAAACTAAAAATTAAACCCTTCGATTCTTTGGACATATTTTTTTAGGAAGAAAAATCATTATAGATAGTTAGAATTTCTTATATACAGTCAAAAAAACTTGTATTTGACTAAGACAGCTGTTAAAGGAAAATTAAAATATCAAATAAGGCTCTAAAATTCAAGTTGTAGACGAAGTCTTGTCTAATCAAATTTTCAAGAATTGACAATTAATCATTTATTTCTTCTTATTTATAAAGTCATATATCAAGATTTTGTATTTATTTTAACTGAATAATATCAAAATAAACATTATTTATATTCATTATTAATTACAAAAATGAAAATTAATATATTCAATAATTTTGAGAATTGTATCTCATTAATTGGCTAAAGTGAATAGATGTTATGATTTATTAGCTACTTTATGAGCTTTTGTTAAAATTAGGGGCTTAACTTTTTGATAAAATTTGATGAAACATTTGATTAATGGACCTAATAATCCTAAAAGTAAAATTCCGGTTTAGCAAAAGCCATAATGAATAAATTAATTAGGTGTGAAATATATACTAAATTCTTTGACATAGGCAATATTTAGAATTGTAAATAACATTACAGGTGCTTCAATCCAAACATTCATTATAAAATCAAGATCAAGAGATTTGAAATTAATTATAATGATAAAAATTACATAAGTAAAATTGATTTATGCTAGCAGAAAGCATTGATAAATAGGATCATTTTAAATTCCTGTTAACGTTGTGAGAAATAAAAGTTTTTTAAATAATATTATAACGTCTAATCTGTGAGCTTTTACAACCTTTGGAGATATTTTGAAGTAGTTGGTTATCAAATTTTGATCGATAATTAAAATCAGAACAATGAAATACAAAATACTAACAAATATACTAATAATTGATCTAAGGGTATAGTGATTCATGGAAATTAAAAATATCAATACTTTGAAGCTCAAATCCCAGCTATTGGCATAAAATATTTAAGTCAATCCCTTTAGACTATATAAGAACTAGGTTGCTAACACATGCTTACTTAAGTTATAACCTTTTAATGCAAACTACTCTAATAGGATTGATTTGCTTAATTTAATCTTTTGAACATATACACTAGTAAACCAATAGTTAATTGAAAACCTTTTAAAATATTTTAGAAAGATATAAAGCAGTAAAAAGCAAGCCAGCTAAACAAATAATCCATATAAATTAGTTAAGAGATCTGCATTAATTTGATATTCTTAAAATTTGCCTGGACCATCTAAATAATAATAGTCAAAAACATTTTCAAAAAAAGAATCAATTTTTAAATTTATCAATAATGGTTGCATTGATACTAATTCTGAAGATTGAAAGTAAATCTCAAGATTCTCAGGATATTTTACATTTATAAATTTTAGATAGGATTGATATTATAAAACATCCAATATTTCTGTGAATTGAGATAAATCACCAAAAATTATTAATAAAAAGCTGCATACAGCTAGCCCGACTATTATCCAAAAGGCAAAGTTATATAATTATTTGGCTGCAGCAATCTAATCACTATTTAAGCTAATGAAAGTTTGAAGCTTTAATTATTTTGGGCTTTTGTCAACATCAAAGTTATTTTCATCTACTAAGGATGCGTCAACAGAAACAGTTACTATAGGAGGATCAATCATTGACGAATAAAATTGAATGGCTAATAAATAAGTAGCTTAGGTTAATTCGAATTCATTTACTGGAATTACTTCTTAAATTGAATAATTATAATAGTCTACAGATAAATCATCAATTGTAAATTTAATTCTAGGAATTAAATCAGTTATTGGCTCGTTCAATCTTACAAGATGTGTGAATGATAATTATACATATTGATATGGATTGGTATGGTTTATATATGAAAGAGATAGTTAGGTGAGGAGAAAGCATCTGCTTTGAAAATTAATATCTACACAATCCCATTTATCTTCTATGATGCACTGATTAGAACATCCATCTAGATTGTCAAAATTACCGTCATCACATTATTCTATATTGTCAAGAATTCCATCACCGCATCTCTTCATTTATATTGAATCTAAACTATCATTAATATCAGTTTAATTTCCATTCTAAATTTCTTGGCAAAGTTCTGTCTCTTTATCCAAAACATATTAATAATTACATTTCTTACAGACATTTCCCTATTCACAATCAAGACAACCTTTAGAACATTAGAACTAGCATTCAAAACAACCATCATATGGTTGATTATTACCATCATCGCAATCCTCTTATCCAGAAATGATGATACCATCTCCACATATGGGTCTACAAACTTAATCTACTATTTAAAAATTGTCTTCACAAATCACGCAAGTAGATATATCTACACAAACTAAACAATAGGGAAGGCATTCGAGTCGACATTCAAAACAACCATCATTGGGATCATTATTTATATCATCACATTATTCTATCGAAAAGTCTGCTATTTATCCATCTCCACATAATTAAATACAATTATTATCTCTCAATTGCCATCCTTCTTCACACAGGTAACATTTAGAATCGATACATTATTAACACTCTAACTAACAGGTTTCAGAACATTCATCATTTGAATCATGATAGTATCCATAATATTTTGAAATTTCATTATTATTGCATTGTGGTAAGCATTCTTATTTATCATAAGATAATTTGAATGATGGATTACATTATAAGCAATATCCAAATTCGCACAATTAGCATTCTGAAATACAAGAAAATTAACACTAATAACAACCATCAAAACGGATCTAATTCCCATCATCACATTCTTCAAGACCTGTTATTATACCATCTCCGCATATTGGAATACACGTTTTATCAAATACTTGGTATTCCCATCCCAATAGACAATTTAAACATGTACCTTAGATACAGTTGCTACAACCTTCAACACAGTCATAAATAGAAGAAAAACAACCATCAAACGCAAATTTATTATTGTCGTTACAAAGGCTTACATTTGAATTAGTTCCTAAAAATAATTAGACATCTCTTATGCACATCCAGGGAGAAATTGGATAAACATGTTTATTTTAAGTTGTCAGAATTGTTATTTTCACTGTGGAGCCATTATGAGGGTATTATCTAATATTGATTTATTTTTAAGTCAAGAAATAGCAAAATTCATAGGCTGAATTATCCGCTATCCAACCACCAGAATATTCAGTCGAATATACAAGGGCATCATCTATTAAAATCTTGATTTCTGTTTAATAAGAGTTCAGTACGAATACTCTTATTGAAAAGCTAATTTTGAGGTGAGACTTAAGATTATAAGTTTTCTCCAATTGGGTTGCAAATACTCTTAAACATTAGATTCCTATATGAACTGATTAAAATACCTGAACAACTTGATGGAGTGGTTTCAATTATTCCATTTTTTAACCATCCTTCATTATTGGTTATTGGGCCAACAGTTCTACTGACAAATTATTATATAAATAAGTATTCGTCAAAACAACCTGTTGAATCACAAGAATTACATCCTGTTGGACAATTTTCAATAGAGAGAATAAAGTCAGAAATTCCCCATACTCCTTTTTGTGACATCATTAGTATAAAAATAGTTGTGCTAGAATGTTCGAATTTCCTGGAAATAGGAATTATCTCATCTTAATAAGATGAACTACCACATAAATTTGTACTAATTGCAGTATCTTAGAAGACATTATTATAAATAATTTGATGGTCAGCATACAAGTAGAATTGGTAATTATTCCATTAGTCAATTCTAATAATTTTGGCATTAGATACCTCCAAAAATTGAATGAAATTGTCACTTAATAGTGTGGATTAAGTTCAAATGTCTGATAAATTAAGAGATCATAATCTAAGGAAGAACAGTAATTTATCTGTAATATTTATTAGAGACCACAAGAAGCAACTTAAACAACACACACGTCATTCTTTTAAGCAACGTTTAGATCTATATATTGAGAATATCTTACCATTTGTTGGGCTGATTTAATAAAAATTTTTATAAACTACCGATGTTTATTAGGAAGAATTCATAAGTATTGTTAAATAAAAAAGCAAGTGTTGCAGTTTGATAGTATCTGATAGGGTGTTCAAATATTATTTGTCGAACATTAAGAAAAAAATGAAATTCAAATATATATTATCATTTGGATAAAATTCTTATTAACAATTACGTTTGAGATGATGATATTTAAATAGAAACATGTAGAAAATACATTATGGAATTTTAATTTAAAAAAAATATTCTAAAATTAAATTTATATTTAGAATGATAATTTGAGCATGGTTAGTCTCTCTAAATTTTGTGATGGAATGATACAAATTTATTTATTTCTTAACATGTATTGCCATCATTTGATGAAAATTTTTATTGATTTTATTGATTATTAATTACCATTCTAGATAAGGCCACTATTAAAAATCTAAATAACTTTTATACCTACTAAAACTCAACAACTCTCATTCTTAGACATATCCATTAAAACATTAGCAACTAATAAAAATCATAATTGCAGTAAATTTCATTTAACTTTTCTTTGAGTAACAACGCTACCAAAATGTTATTCTGTATTTGAGAAAAATAAAGAAAATATTCTGCAATTAAAATACTCTATACTATGATAAATACAATAAAATAGGAATGACAGATGATTAATGAACTCAAAGTATGATTTTAATTATGAGAATCTTGCCTTAAACTTTATATAAGAATAGTTTTTGGTATGTTATTGGAATCTATTAAACTAACACTATTATCTTAACTTCAGACGATAGAGTACGAAATATTTTGATTTGAGATTTCAATGACACAACAAATGATATTCTTATCATATTAATTTTATATTATCCTCGTAAAAATATATTTTTATAAATATATATTTATAATAATATATTTCTTTGGATTATGAAACAAAGATCGAATTAATAATCTAAGAGATCACCACCATTATTTAAAGAAATAAAAAATAGATCCTTTAAATTAAATTAAACTTGTTTTGTGATGGCATTTAACATGGATGATTCATTGTTGTTAATTTAAACATCCTACACTTTATAAATATTTCAATTTAAAAATGGATATCTCAAATTTCTCTAAAATGTAAGTGGAATACAAAACCATTGGGGGAGATATTTGAAATTTTTTAACCAAAGATAATAATTCATCACATCAGAAATAGAATGTTTTGTTCGCATAAGGCCTATAAATTTAATGTCAAGTCCTAAATATTTATACACCTTAGACCTCGAATCTGAGAATTTAATACTCCATAATTCTGAAAAGTAAATAATATCAGGTGCTAAGGACATACAATTTTGGAAAATAAAAAACAATAGTTGGTACTGCTCCCAAATTATTAATTAACTAGAGGAAAGTGAAATTTTTGGGTTATCAATAGATCATGAAGGAAGCACAATAGTCGCCTGCTGTAAAAATAAAAAAATCCTTGTTTTAAAATGCAATTCAACTTCCAATTGGCTTGTAGCTTAGATAATAGTAGTGAATCTTCCTGGATATAGAATATGCTTTATAAACGATGATGCCTTCACTTTCTAGCCAATTTTCAGAGGAAAAATTATTTTGTATGCAAAGAATAAACAAAACATGTTTACAAAAAGAAGAGTTTTTAAAATAGAACCTGGAGGTTCAATATTTAGTCTAATGAAATGTTGCTTTCAATTTCCTCCAATATTCGATAAAAACAAAGAACTTTTAATCAATAAAAATAATCAATAGTTATAAATCATCAGCTTTCATAAAGAATAAACAAACAGAGTTAAATGGGAATTAAAAATAGAATAACAACTTTGGTTTAATTGCTTTTACTTCCATGGTGCTATAACTCATAATGGAGATCTCTTAATAACATATGATAGAAGGAAGAATATGTGCTAGGTTTGGCAACATCGAGATGCAATAAGAAAAATAGGGAGATATTAATAAAATAAAAATAAATAAATAAAATGATTTAATATTAATCAAATTAGGAGTTTTATTTTCCCTATCTTAGAAATATATTGGTTAGTTTTTGATTTTTGGTTTTAATATAAGAATTTGGATTATTTAGAAAATAATTAAAAAATTACTCAATATTAAGCCTGATCATTCTGAATATGATCTTCAAAAGTGTGCCCATTTTATTATCATTAAGATGAAGCTCAGTTAATTTTCATTATATATGTAAAAATATTAATAAACATGTATTTATTTATCATAAAAAAAAGATAGAGATCTTATTACTAAACCACAATTTGTTAAGTAGTAATTTCTAGGGTTATAAAATGAGTAAAGTTATTGATATTTTGCTCAAATATATATTTAAATTTCGCCACGAAATAGATAGATTAAACTAAAGAAAGATCGATTTCGGATTTTTTACGAATTAAGTTTATTCAAATTATACTCTATCACTACCACATATGGTTATCCTACTATAATCTAATAATGTAGATTGATAATTACTAATAAAAAATGCTTATTTCTTAAATTTAATATAAGTAATTCTGCAGCCTTATCTAAAGTTACCAAATTTTTTGTTTTAAGATGTAAAATATATTATATTATTATTATAATATATTAACTTTAATTATCTTGTTTTTAATTAAATAGAATATTCATAATATTTGTTTTATAAGAAAAAAGATTTAAAATTCCTAGATGAAAATAATATTATAGTCTAATGTCAATTAAAATGAATTTTCTATTTTCTACTTTGAATTTCCCATTCACATATAAATTGAGTGTCCATATTCAATATTATCATTCTTTATATGATTCTTCTACATTCACATGTTTAAAATTAATAACTTACTGAGTTAATTTAATAATAATGTTTTTTATCTTAAGAAATGATTTAGTGCGATTTATCATTAGCGTTTTAAAGATATCTTTAATATAAGTTAGTCTATTTGATAACGTAAAATTATGTAATATATATCAAGTGCAATCTGTTTCATTTTGAAACAATTTTTTTAAGATTACATCTAAATCATCATTTTTAACAGGTTTTTGGAGAAAAGTAGTGATTCCTAACTTTTGACCTTGAACAATATTTTCTTATGTGTCATATGCAGAACAAATTATAATCATTGACTTATTAGAAATCAAATCAAGAATCTAATTACTATAGATTATTACTTGTTTACTAGTTTGGAAACCATTTATTCCTGGCATTTCAATATCCATCAAAATTAATTTATAAGTTGAGCAATGTTATTACAACTTTTATTTTACTTTTTCAATTGCTTAAAATCCATCAAATGCTTAATCAGCCTCGATTTGATGATTATTGAGTATCATTTTTAGTGCTATTTGATTAAAAGGAATATCATCAACAATTAATACATGGTGACATTTCTAGCAGTAAGAACTATACCTTTTTGTAAAAGCTGAATCTTGTTACTTTAGAAGACTTGTCTTAAAACCTATACATTTATCAGAAAAATATTCAGGACTAATAGGCAAAAGGATTTCAGGTTATTTTTCAAAGTCGTTCAATCTAGATGTGTTTTTATAACTGTATGAACTTTAATCTTAGTATTCCTTATCAATATCCATTCTAGAACTATTAGACTTGATTAATTTGCTGTCATCCAATTTTAGTTCTTTTAACTCGAATTAATCAATTGATTGATTAAATTTTCCGCTCTATAAAGTGAATAGGTGAGATTATAATAGATTGTTCTATAATAGATTTTAAGCCTTAAATTAAACTACAGTTCCTTAGTTTTTTCTGGAATTTATTATTAATTGATTGTCCTAAGATTCAACTAAACCTTAAACAAGTTTCGCTGCTATACTTAACCCCAATCCCTATTGTCTTGATCCTTAATGAGATTTCAATACAGCTCCAAATTCAATAGTGTCATGTATACTATTTTAGATTTAACTTAATTTTTGTTCTTCTATGCCAATTCCATTATCTTTGACTTTGAAAATGATACTAAAGAGATCACCTTCTGTAATTTTTAAACTAATTGACCCTCCTTCCTATGTAAATTTAATAGCATTATTTAAAATATTGACTAATAATTACACAATCCTCTACTTATCATTCTAAATAACTTTGCCATTCAAATTTTCAGAAACCTTAACATTGAATTCGATATTCTTTTGTTTCATTTAGAGTTTGTACAAATGTTCAATTTCTTCGCTTATTTCATGAATTGCGAACAGGGAGACATGGTATGAAAATTGATATGACTAAATTGAAGCATAATCCAAAATGTCATTAATCTGATGAATTAATAATGAGATAGAACATTAGGCTATGTCGATGTACTCCTAGAATCTAGTATTTGAATCTTCAATTTTCATAAGATTTAACATCTATGAGCAACTATTCAATGGAGTCCGCAATTCATGAGAAAAGGATTTAATAAGACTATGGTGTATTATTTATTCATCTTTCATTTGTTAACATTTAAATTTGTTAGTGATGTTCTTGATAATGATAAGTAATACAGTATTCTCAACATCATTATTAAATGAGAAGTGACTTTTGCTTGAAGACTTAACTTATGAGGAAGCCGAGAAGTAATCCTATTATTAATTGGTCATTGAAGTTGGTATGAGTATTAATTTTAGTTTCTTTTATTAGTTATTGCTGAACCTACTCTCTGACTTCATGAGCCATTCATATATAAATATCTTTTAGTGAAATGATGGGTGCTTACTCTTTTACATATCATTCTAATCTAGAAGAGCAAGATATTTTGATGGCGATAGTATTATATCCAGGATATCAATAGGAATCTCTTTATCTGTGAGCGTCTTTATTATTTGCGATAGAGTTCGATAATGTAGTTGGTTCTTTTCTTGTTTATTTGTCGATTCGCTTTCATCATCTGGAATCTTTGCATTTCTTACACACGTTTTGACCTTCTCCAATACTAATTAGGCACCTTAGCACTCTAGTATTTTTTCACATTTATTGTTAATATAACTCACTTATTGAGCCTAATTCAATATCAATATCCCATAAGGGAATAAATTTATTAGATTTTAATAGAGCTAAAGTTTTGAATGATCTGAGCTGCTTAAACTTTTGTAAAATTTCTGAGATTTCGAAAAGCTTGTTAAATTTGAATATTATTTCAACTTTTCTTCATTCGGGAGGTCTTTCAATAAGGTAGTGAAACACTGTTTAGGAGTTTGTATGAATGAGTTTCTGGGTTAAGATTTATCCTAAGAATGCATTAATAAGTTTTCAGCATTAGGAGAGGCTGGATTCTCACATTTTTTGGGTAGCTATTATTCAGTCTTTTGATTGTTTTGTTTGAAATTAAATTAGCAGTAATATGCTATTATTTAGTGGATTACAATAACAAATATAATAATTATGCTTTCTATTGCTTACAAACTTGGTAAACTTATAATTTATATGATATTTTTTATTAGTAAATAACAAGGCAGTCCTAACTTGCAAATGAAACTATATTTCTAAACTGCAATCTTTAAATAATCCCAATATGCAATAGTTATTATTAAACTATTAGATAAAATGCTAAATGAATTCTCAATCTCACTTAAGAACATCGATTCAAAGTAACCTACATAAAATAAGAGAGAAACTATATGTAGACCTAAATTGAGCCCATAGCTTTTTTCCATTAAAAAATACTAAACAAGCCTCATCATTAAACTTGCTGACTATAAAATTAAAAGTGTATAATTTATAGATTCTCCTCGAGATAACCCTACAAAAAACCACCACAATCCTTAAACCAAATTCGCTAACAAAATTAATATTCTCGAAAATTTTTCTAAGAATTTCTTAAGTTCAAGTTTCATTAAATAATTAAAATCAATTTTGAATAACTAATATTTTATAGAAAAATAAATTTAAGGATACTGTCTACGTCCAAGTAATTAATAATTTTAAGTGGAACACATTTAGCAATTTGTAATATTGTTAAGATTTCAAGATCAGTTGTCATTTTCTTGATTTTTTTGTCAGAATTCCTTATTATCTAAAAATGATAAGTATAACACTATTATGTCTTTCAAATAATTTTTCAATTTATCTCCATTATACTTCGATCTTTGAGTTTACTCATTAAAACCAAAATGTTCAAATTCATAATCATAGTTTAATACTACAATTTGAATAATTTAACTTTACATATCATGCTATTCAATATTAAGAATTTGTCTATTCAATTTAAGATACAAAAGTTAAACAGAATAGTTATAAACGAGTTATTAAGAAGTAAATATTCATAATTACTGTGATAATATGGAGAAGTTCTTTGATTAAATATTTAATTATTTATAATAATTTATACTAATTAATATCTGAATCAATTACAAATTTGAAGGTACTTTCTAGCCAATATAATGTAAAGTTTGAAATTATTTTAGTCACTTACTAAAAATTGAAAATGTAATTTAATGTATTTTTTCTAGCTGTTTAAATTTAAGAAAAATTGATCATTAGAATTGAATTTTTAATATTATTTTATTTGTTGAAAAATTACAGAGTTACTTCTTTTATTTTACAAGATACTAATACTTTGAAACTTTTTTATTTTCTATGATGCTTATTCTACTTCAATAATATACATAAACAACAATTAATGATAAATGGGTCTATATCTTTTTAAAGCTTTTGATTCTGATAGATAAAAATTTAGGAAATTCTAAATGGTTAGATTAAATATTAAAATAGCCTTTAATGCCGTTTGAATGAACTTCTTAAATAATTATTAATTTTATGAAAAAGATAAGAGTTAGTAATCTTTTAAATTATTTAATATTAGGTATATACCATCATATATTGATTATCAATGAATTAATCTTACCCATCCTAACTTTAGATTTTCCATTTATAATTTTTAGCCTCTACTTCCGATTTGAGTTAAAGATTGGAACTTAGGAATAGTTAGGGTTTTCCTAAGTTATAAAAAATTTTGCCAATTTCAGAGAGAGAATGGTGACTTGTTCTTTAGTTAAAAGGCGAGTATAATAGAATTAATTAATAATTTTCAGTTTATTTAATTTTTCATCCTTTTAAAACTTGAGTCTAATTTTAATGATTAAAGTTTAATCTGATAATAAATTATTTCTTATTAATAATTCCTTCGAAAATGGTTTATCTACTATATAACTGGTATTTATAAATTTAATTTATTGTAAAATCATTTTGAGAATGTATCGACATTTGATTGTTTAAAAATAATACAAGGCATACAAATTGATTAGTTATCCCAAAATTATAAAAGTTAACTTAATGAAAATCATAAATAAATTTTAGTTAATCAATAAACATAAAATTTTAGCTATTTAAGGAGATTATACTTCTAAAAATCAGATATAACTAGTTAATAAATATGCTTTATCCAGAAAGGAGCCTATTAAAGTTTAAAAAAAGGATAAACTAATATTATGGTGAATAATTATTGATTCTAGTTATTTCATTATCTGATAAATCTATTATCAACCTCTAGTCTATTGGAAAAAAGAAACTTCATATTTAAATTAGAATGAATCCAAGCTCTAGGGATTTTAATATCCTATAGATTTCTATTAAATCATTCTATCTTTTATTAGCAAATAAAGAAAGTACTACAGAGAGTATTCATTATGATATATATAATGATTATATGAATACTTTTTGATTATTTAATAAAATTTTCCCTATATAAATTTAATGAATCAATTCATCAATACATTAAGTATCCTAAGAGAACAGCCACACCAAGAACGTATCCAGAGTCAGTTGAGGTTGAACCATTATTATTTGTTTCATTACCATTTGAAGAATTGTTTGGAGTAACAATGGTGGTACCGCATTAGGCGCATGCACTGGTCTTGGAGTTCCATGAATACATGTAGGCTGATAAGGTGTAACATTCTGATTCAGCTAATGTCTTAGGATCTGCAGCTGTACATTTACCAGATACTGTGCGGCAAATATTATACTTAGAGGAATCCCAGTTGGGGAAATATGTGCATCTTCCTTATGAAGCATTAAAAGTTTCGCAAGTGTGATCGACACAAGAACTGGCAACTGTTGCTGTAGAAGCAGTCCATTTACATCTATTTGATGCTAATTGACAAGCATTTTAATCTTTGGCAGCAGCAGTGCAATTGGTCATCAAAGAGCATTTTCCTGTTGTTGTAGTTCCAGTTGTAGTTTCAGTCCAAACACAAATTCCATCAGTTCCTGTAGTATTACATCCAGCCTTGGTTACATACTTATCGCATGTGGTTTTAGGGATACATTTGGTTCCATCAGTAGTACAAGTACTAATAGCACTGCAAGTTTAAGTATTAGTACCACCAGTAATGTCATCGCATGTCTTGACTCTGCAGGTTCCAGCTGCTCCAGCTGTACCTTCTGTCCATTAACATAAACCTTCAGTTCCCAATGCGTTTATGCATGCACTATTTGTTGTGTACTTGGTACATGAATCTTTGGTGATACAAATTGTACCATCGGTAGTACAAGTAGACAATTGAGATGAGCAAGCAAGATGAGAAATTCCTACGAGATCAGAGCAATTTTAATCTCTACAAACACTTGTAGTGTCATCCCATTTGCATTAACCTGTTGATGTAATTTAACCACTTGAATTTTTTTATACACCATCTTTATTGTAATTACAAGCTTCCTTTACATATGTTGAACATGCGGCTAGTTCAATACAAGATGAAGTTCCATTTGTAGTACATTTAGGATTGGCAGTTTTGCATTCACTGTGAGTTGTAAATAAGGCTGAATTGCAATTAACATATTTGGTGCAAACTTTATTAGTGGATCCTAAAGTGGCAACAGTTGTAATACATTCTCCATCTGTACCTGTCACACATCCTCCATTTACATTAGTTTTGCCACATTGTGTAATACCAATACATTGTTATCCATCAGTTGTGCATTTATCTGAGATGTATTTACATAGTGGATCATTACTCCATTTAAGACTTCTACATGAATCATAAAGGAAACAAGCTCCTTTAGTATTATCTGTATTAGGATAATCAGGTAACCAAATGCATGGTCCATCAGTACCAACAACACAAGCAGCTTCGACAGTGGTCAAAGAGCATTTCTAAATAGCAGCACATTTGCCACTTTTACCAGCTGTGCATTTGCCTTTAAAGTTCTTATCTGTTGGATTCTAACAAGCAGCATGAGATGAACCAGAAATATCTTTGCATTCTTAGTTTCTACAAGTAGATGTATCTGAGTCCCAAGCACATATATTTTAAGTTGCATCAGTAGTACAAGCACTCTAAACTTTAGCTGCTGAGCAAGAACTCCTTTAAACACAGCCACCACCTTATTAAGTTGTGCAAGTGGATCCAATTTTGGGAGTGAAGTATTGTAAACATTAAGATTCAGAATTGTATTCTTTAGGAGCTGTATTACAAGTCTTTTAAACGCAATAAGCTGGTTTAGTTGTATCAGTAGGAACAATCCATTCACAAGGATTTAAAGATGTATCAATTGTGCATCCCTTTTAGCTTAAAGCCGAAGCGCATGTTCCTCTATTTACACAGAATTTTCCATTTGTTGTACACTTTGAGTTCTTAAACAATGCTGCACATGTTGCATCATCAGTAAAAGCGTAATCTTCACATGTCTTAGTCTTGCACTTACTTCCAGAATCAATCATTGTGCAATAGGAGAGGTGATTTGAACAATCAGAAGCAGTTGCAGGACTGACTGCATTTTCACAAGTTCTGGTAGCACATGATCCAGTACCAGTACCTTCCAACCAAATACATTTGTTTTTCTTGGAATCAGTATCCACGCATTGTCCCTTGCTCATTTCTTCACAGGTTTCTGGAATAGGAACACATCCTTTGTCATCCTTGTCAACTGTGCATTTAAGATTCATTGGACTTCCATATGTAATACAAGCATCATGTGTGGTGAAACTATCATCAGCTTACGAGCAACTTGCATCTCCGCATTTTTTGGTTGTATCATTCCAATAGCAATTCAAGAAGTTACCATCAGCATCCTTATTCTTGCTCTTTTTACATTATCCTTAAGTATTGTATTCAGTACATAATACTAGTGCCATACATCCTCCTTCAGTGTATGTTCCATCTTCGTTTTTCTTTGCTCCCAAAGTGCAATTTCCTTTAGGGATATAAGCTTAGCATTTTTCAAAATCAGTGTTGGAAGCAGGATCAGCAGATGTGCAAGTTTTATCAACGCATTTATTGGGTGTCTCTACTAAACTCCATTCGCAGTCTTTCTTTGTTGAATTTAGTTTACATTAATCAATGACTTTATAATCTGAACAAGCACCTAAATTAATGCATCCTCCCAATGTTGTTCCATCTTCACCTAATTTAACTGTGCAATTTCCTAGAGCTATACATTTTTCGTGGGAATTATATGTTGAATCAGCATTAGTACATGTCTTATCATAACATTTACCTGGTTCAGTGTTAGTATTCCAAATGCATTTACCTCCTGACAAATTCTCTTCACATTAAGATTTTTTTGTGTAAACAGTGCATGCAACTCTCTTCATGCATCCTCCAGTTCTAGCAGTACAATTCTATTATTTTGCTGAGCATGTATCAATGGATGGACTTGCAACATCGGTTGTAGTTATGGCATCGCATGACTTTTGAAGGCATTTTGATGCAGCTGTATCCCAAACACATGGTCCATCAGTAACAGCATAGGCACATTTCTCGCTTGCATCATAATCGCCACAAACATCTTCTTTGTCTATGCATGCAGTTCCAGCAGCATTTACAGTACAAGTCTTCAAGAAGTGGAAACAATTGAAGAAATTGAATGTTCCTTTAAAATCAGCACATGTTAAAGTAGGTGCTGTATAATCTTTGCATTTTGTAGTGGCACTAGAGTCAACAGTGCATGTGCTGCTAAACTCTTAACAAATATTGAAATTTAAGTTAGTTGTTCCTCCTAAAACAATGGCAGTACAAGCCGTAGTACCAGCATCATATTTTTTGCAAACTGTGTCTATATAGCAATAACCTTCTGTTGCCCAATAACATGAACCAAGATTGCTAGACGCCGTTTTATAATCTTCACATTTTGCGGCAACCACAACACAAGCTGATTAATCAGGTAATGCTGTACATTTTCCTCCACTGACATCTTTACAATATTTTGCAGTTATTTTAGCAGCACCTTATGTTCCAGTCTTGACATCACCACAGTTGGCATCAGCAGCTATGGTTTTCTAGCCACAAGTTGTTCCAGTAAGTTAGCAAGTTCCATCCTTTCCTTTTGTACATGTATTGGAAGTCAATTAAGAACAATTTTTATCTGCAAAGTAGTAGCATGTCTTTCCATCATTTTGTACTGAACATTCAGCATCAAAGGTTTAGCATGAATCGTAAGTCTATGGATCTGCAAGACTTGCACAATTAGGTTTGCATTTACCATTTATTCCAAAAATACAACTACTCTTTAATGTTTTACATTCAGCGTCAGTTGTACCAGCAAGTTCGCTGCATTTTAATGTGGACACAGGCTTACAAGTACCAGAATAATAACAATCACCATCTGTTTTAGCCCATTTACAATCCGCTGATTTAGTATATAAACTACAATTATCTTATGCAGTCAAGCATGCAGTTCCAGCCTGATTGGCAGAACAGGTAGCATCCAAAGAATTACAATAACCACCTGTGAGTTTTGCACCTTTTACTTTTGTGCAATCAAAGGTTAAAGTTTTACAAGCTGGGGGAGTAGCAGCGCCATCCCATTAGCATTAAGCCTTATCTCCAAGGATTCCACCTAAGCAAGCTAATTCGGTCACATAATCAGTACAAGCTGCCTTTTTGAGTCCACATGGTAAATTAGTGAGAGTACATTAATTTGACTTGGCTGTACATTATGCATGTGTAATAAAGTCTTTTGTGTCTTCCTCTGTTTTTAAACATGCAGTATCAGCACACTTTGATGTTGCAGCATCAAAAGTACATGGAGCATCATTTTTATCTTTTTTACATTATGGTTCTTTTGTATATTAACTACATGATAATCTATCAACACATTTGGTTTCATCAGCACTAACTGTGCATTTCTTGTTAGATGCATTAGTGCAGTCAGTATGGGTCTTCTTATCTAGATTTGCACATACATTTCCATCTACACATTTACCGGTTGTGTCATTCCAGAAGCAATTTAAGTATTCTGCTGGGTCTGTGTTAGCAACTTTCAAAATATTAGTTTTACAAGAATTCTTGCCTAAACCACTACAAGTTGCAGGTATAGGAGCACATACATTATTTGCTGTTCCAACAACACAAAGAGGATTGCCATTTGCATCTTTCAACCATGCTATACAATCATTATGAGTTACTTCACCTCCTGTTACTACTACACTACCTGCAAAACCTTCTTTAGTTGCATTAGCACATGTTTTTTCATAACAAGTCTTAGTACCATCCCATAGACATGTTTTACCTCCATTAGTTTTTGTACCTGCTACATCACATTACTCTTTAATGGTTCTTGACTCACATTTAGCAGCTAACTCCATACATCCTTTCTTTGTTCCATTTGGTACACAATTAGAACTTGGTTTATAAGCCTCACATAATTCTACTGTATAGTCATCATCAGTTTTAGTTGGTGCAGTAGTACAAACGATGTCAACACAAGTTGATCCAGTCCAACCACATTTTTCACGATTAGCTTTCAATTCACAGTTCTCCTTAACAATTAATGCTGAACATGTTAATGGAAGATCTATACATCCCTTCTTTGTATTTGACAAAGTACATGCAGGAAGATATTCTTAACATTATGCATGGGTTGTATTATCTTAAGATGCAGCTGAGCATTGTTTTTAGTAACAAGATCCATAGTAAACGCAATCAGCACCAGACTTGTCCTTGACACAATTATCTTTATCAACTACGTTTTCACATAACAAATCAACACAAGTACCAGATGAACTAACCGTACATGTATTAATTTCTCCATTACATAATGAATGAGAATTAAGTCTAGTGGGTAAAGTAGCACATGTCTTATCTAGACAATTACCTCCTACAGTGTCCCAATAGCAATCTTTATTATTTTAATCTTTAACACAAGCATCTTTTAATAATATGGCTGAACAAGTAGTATTGGAAATACATCCACCATCTTTCTTAGCAATGCATTTGCCATTTGGAAGATAGTCTTCACATCCAGCATTTGATATAATAGTAGTGGGAGCATTATCACAAGATCTCTTTTAACATCCACCAGCGTTGTTAGCCTTACCAGTACAAGCCTTAGAATAAGTTGAACATTAGTCATGACCGACAATATCAGTTCCTGCATTTTCACATGTCTTGTCTTTGCAACTACCATTCCATGTACATTCTCTATTATTGTATCTATTAACAGCACATTATTCTTGAACAGAAGAACTTCCACAACTTGTATCATCAACACATCCAGCTCCATTTGTTATACATGATGCCAAAAATTGTTTTTAGCAATCAGAATTGGTAGTCAATGTATTTGGGGCACTTGCACAGATCTTATCTTTACATTTCAAATCTTTATCTGACCAATAACATTCCTTTTTTGCACTATCAATTTTGCACCCTTCCTTTATTTTACCGTCTGCACATGTCTTAATATCAACACAACCTCCACCATCTTTAGCTGTACATGTTGGTAAGAAAGCTTGACAGTCAACATGGGTTTTAATATTAGTTGAAGCATTCTCACATTTCTTGTCAAAACATTTATTAGTAGTAGTATCCCAAAAACAATTAACTGATCTTGTCTTATTAGTTACACATCCTTCTACTGATACTTGATCTGCACAATTAGTTCCTGAATCTACACATCCTCCTGCAGGTTTAGCTGTACATTCAAACTTTAAATATGCTCTGCACTCAGAATCTTTAGTAAGTGCTGTTGGTAATTAAGCACATTCAGTCACATCAGAGCATTTCTTAGCTGTTTCATCCCAAACACAGTAATTTCCTGCCTTGTTCTAATAACAAGATGTTGATGTTAAGTAGGTTGAACATAAATCTATTTCTACACAAATTGTTCCATCTGTTATGCATCTTTTGGATATAGCTTAACAGTCATCCTTGATGGTTTTCTCATAAGGTGTACAACTTGTGAAGAATGTACATTTATTATCAATCCAGGCGCATTCATTTAATTTAAGACAGTCTGTTTGAGCTAATCCTTCACAATACAAGGATTTTCCGTAATTCTTTGTAACAGTAACAGGACCTGTGCTTTAAGGAACTTCACAAGCTAATTTAGTTGTGTTCCATGAACAGTTTGAGTTTCTGGCACAATCACCGGAAGTTAAAAGCTATGCACAAGTACAAGCTTCACTCTTGCTTACTACTTGACATGTTGCTATGCTTATCATAGCAATTATTAATAAAGTTCTCTTCATTTTAAGTATTAAAATTAATAAATAATAATATGAGGTATTTAAAGGAAGCACCATTTATTTTTTTTTAATTTTCTTTATACGTCATAGAAGATTCATTTTTAAGGATCTGTTTTATTAATTTTAATTAATTGACATCATTAATTAAATTATTAAACAAACTTGAAAGCTAATAACTGACTCTCCTACTTTTCTGCTCATTTATCACATTAAGCAAGCATAGAGACATATAAATTTAGTTTTGGATTAAGATTATTTGGATTTACACTTTATATATATAAATAAATGTATTTTGATATTTCTTGAGTCTTATATGTATTTGCATCCTTTTTATTAAAGGAATTCATGCAAATACTACTTAGCCTAAAACAGGTTGTTACTTTTAGAGCGGAAAGTTAAAAACTTTTAAAAAAAGAAAAGGTTCAAAATTATTTAGCAATTATCTCGAGAATTATATAGTAACTTTCATAAAATTTAAGAATTGTATGAAAGGTATATGTGAGAATAGAATGAGAATAAAGTTAATAACAATTTGTGAAGCAAAATGAATAAATTGTAGTCTTTGATTTAACTCAAAAATTCGAGAAAAGAATATTTAAATTTGACTGAAATGAGGATATTATACTTTCAGGAAGGTATAGAAATGCATTACCAAGTCTACCAGCTAAAATAGCTTCAGAAAAATATTTTGAAAATATAAGTACATTTCCTATTTCTGAAAACAAATAAAAGAAAGATTCTAAGTTTAGAAAAATAATCAATTTGGATGCTAGGCTCAATACAGAATACTTTAGAATAGCCTCGAACTAATCTTCTTTAATAGACTAAAAATAAGTATACATTTTATCAAATAGATTATAATTCTAATATTTTATATTAATTAACAGAAATTTAATATTAAATTGATTATTCCTATTTTTTATATTTATAATTTTCAATAGATTATACAACAGTTCTATCTATTTCCTCCTGCAGCTTAGACTTCCATATCGTATAATTTGATCAATCCTTCATAAAGTCTTTTTGTAACAATGGCTTCAGTCACTCCAAATCTTGCTGATGGTGAGATATCAGCTGTGCCTTCCTTGTCCATATTTGAATGTTCACCTCCAACTCCTCTTGCTTATAATCCTAAGGATCTAGCGACTTCTTTCAATTTCTTTTCATCAGTTCCTCCCTTTGTGATATTTGGGAATTTGCCTAAAATAGATTGTCTCTTTCCAGTTCCCATATTGGTTGGACAAGTGGTAATAACACCATAAATAGGATGTTCAGCAAATTCTAAGCCACTCTTTTCAATGCCAGACAATAATTCATGGAGTGATTGATCCACTTTACCTAGATCATTTCCTTGGACTATGGAGATGATTCTCAATTGATCCTCTTCACCAATCCAAATCATTTTGGTTTCATCCTCACTAATCCAAATTCCTCTTCCATGTGGCCAATCTGATGCTACCCCTGAAGATGTCAAATGATTATCAGTTGTCATGTCATTAAATAAGAAGTGCTTATTTCTCAATTCATCTGCCTATTGATTTGTGATCTAATTCTTGTGACCTGGAGTCAAACTGTGATATTTGCCTGGAATTCCGAAACTGCCAAATACTTCCACCATCTTATTCTCAAATCTGATTCTCTCGTCCTTATCCATTGAAGGAGGTAAATTCCATCCCTTCACATTTCGTGCCACTCTCGCTCTCATTGACACCTTTTCTAATCTTGAATCTATTTTTGTAAGAACATATTCTCCCACTGGGATGTTCCAATCATGTTCCTATTTGGTTTACCCCTCTATTTTGTGGTATTCTCTTATCAGTGGTTCTAAGTAGAAAGAAAAGACATCGTAATCCTCTGGTCTAGTAGCATACACTCCAACAGAGCTGTCATCATTCGATAAACCTCCCATCATCACATCCAAGAATCTTTATTGATCGGAATCAGAAAGGCCCTTCACTTTCTCCACTACAGCTGGTGTGAAATACTTATTTCCAAGACTGACTTTAATCTTTCCTAATTCAGTCCATCTGGCTTGGACTTTTGCTAAATCTAACTTTCCTTCTGCATCCAAGTAGGCCTTTCTGGCATCATCTTTAAAGACACAAGTATGCATTGATATTTTATTTATTTGATGAAATCATATAATATCTTTAGTCTTTAATTGCCTAATTTATAATAATCACACATTTATTATTTATTTATCACAAATAATTCGAACAATTGGTGCACGACAATAGTCCAATATTGACTAGAATCCAAGAGGAGACTAGTTAATTAACAAATTAAACATGTGCAAAAGCCAAATCTTAATACCTTATAATATAAATTCTTTTATTTTCAATAGTTGCACTATTAGTCTTCCTCTGATATTAATATAACCATAAAAAATTGATTACAATTACTCATACCAATATAGTTCTTTACGCAATTCTCTTTTCATTCTAAAAACGAACAAATTTTTTCATAAGAATTATAATTAAATCGCTTATAAAAATTACAATATAAATAGTAATATCTTTATGAGAATTCAACTCCTCAGGACAATATCAATATCTCCTGATCGATAGCTATTATCTAAGCTGAATAAATGAATTCAAAATATTGATAGGTATTAATGCATAGAGGCTTCATATATAATTTCTATATATAAAATAAAAGAAATTATTTGAAAAGTGCTATATAAGTTTAATATACTAAATACAAATGTTTGGATATAATAATTAAGTGAAAACTATAGGGTGAATTTTCAGTGTAGAGAATGCGATAGTTATTTAGTTTAATAGGAATTAATTTTTGGAATTTTAAGAGATCAAGTCTTAATTTTAATATTAAGTATCACCTCATAATTTGTCAATTAAATTAATCTCAATGAATTAATTATTCAGCCGATAGAGATTCAAAGGGATGATTTACGATGTCTATTCGATCCAATGCAAAGCGACATGAATAATATATCTAACAAATTCTTATCTATGAGTTATTTGACAAAATATATATATATTAAATTATAGTTATATTCGGCTTAAAAATGGGAATTTGCGGTAGCTCCACCATAAGATCACATCCGAGTGATAAATTAATTGAAGAGAACAAAGGAAAGAATGGAAACCTAGGCTCATAATCTAAAACAGTTAGATTGTTTGACTACAATCAAAATAAGATAGTTTAAGTTCCTGTGTTGAAACCAGCTACTTAAAATACTTTATACTTTAAGAGATAAGCGTAAAGTCCGAATAAAAATCAAGATACTGTGCAATAACTCACACAACCTTGATTAATGTGAATTAGTCATATAAATATTTGAATACTGTTATTTAGTTCAAGCAATTGGAATCTGTAGATATAAAATAACATTTAATATGAATATCGTTCATTTAGTTAACTTGTTACTTCTAATAATATCGTAAAATTTGGTTAGTTCTTCTTCTTAGACTTTTCTGAACTCTCTTGCAATCTAAAGTTATAATAAAAAGCGATACAAGTCCTTAAGTATTCATGCAGTTCATTACAAGTTCTTCAGATTCTTCAATTGATGTCATCAACCAATGATAATCATCTGAAGTAGGCTTGATTTTATCTTATTCAAGGTCATACTTGATTTCTCTCCAGATTTCTCCTATTTTAAAATGCGGATACAATTGTATAACCTCAACCATCTACTTCTCATTCGGTAGCAATTCATTCTTATCAAATCCTGTTCTATACAATATAGCAAATACAATCGCTCTTAAATCGTATTCAGCTGACTTTTCAGTTATCCTTCTTACTAAATAAGCCTCACTGCCAACATCTGATTCTAAATCCTCCTATTATGTTCTAAGAGATTTCATGTGTTTTGATTTCTGATCTCCCTATTGATTTGGTGTTCTAAGACTAGGATCATTTTGTGGATTCAAAGGTCTTAGTTTGTTGGTGACAATGCCATCAGAATATTTGACTCCATATCTTTGATCTTCTGCAACATAGATCTTGACCAGTAATTATGTACTGTTGATCATAGTCTTTGGGGAGTTCCAATCACAAAAGTATGGAATAGCCTTAGGGTTTTCCATCAAGTAACTTAAACAAGACAGAGTAAGTTTCTTATGCATATCATCACAAGTTTCTAAGAATTCCAATAATACATAGAGACCTTCAGAATCCAGAAAGATAGCTTCAGATTTTCTATTGCCCAGAATGGTGTTCCATAAGCAATCGAGAACACTTACTGCATAGAGAGCATATCTTGCACTTGTACCTAAATTAGGATTCTTTAATGCGTTAACCATTAATTCAACAGCACCCTTTTATCTAAATAACTTCTTATTTTTATTGCACTCCTTACACAAATTGGAAATAATGGAGAAACACAACTCCTTTATTTTTAATGGATTATCATTGTCATTTTCATTTTACAAGAATTCTATGAGATTATCCATCACACCTTCATCACAAATTTTGATTTTGTAATTCTATTCAAATTCTGATGCATTATTGAAGGCCTTCAAACACCTTTCCTTGTGATCCAATTCTTGAGTGTTAGTGAGAAACTTGGTTAGACAAAACAGACCATTCTTTTCGTAAAAACTAATTGAAAAATATTTTCATTTATTACTCATCTTTTAAATATACAATGGCATTTCCCAAATATTCCTAAACAATGTAATTATATTCTTTTTTTTACGGAGGAGACCATCTATTAACAGCATAACTATTGGCAAGTGGATCTATGTATAATAATAGAGTGATAATGAAGGGAGACTCCTTAACAGCCTCCAAGACAGCTTAATTGCCCGATTGAACAGCTGTTAAAATTCCACTCCAAATCAATTTCTTGAATTCTAAGTCTTCACTAGTGGTACCAAAGAATGCTTTTAACTAATTAGTTCTGATTGGTTCATTATAGAATGTGACCTCATCAATTGTGGCATAGAACAACAAGACTTCTAAGAAATTGGTCTATTATTAAATTGTATGAGCTTGAGGCTTATCAACAAAATATTATAATGCCTTAAATAATAGAACTCTAATATACCTTCTCATCTCTCATTAAATAGTTTAATAAGATTAAGATTTCATTTCTTAGACACTTGTCTTCCAATTTATATCCCTATTTCATGATGTTTTCGAATAGTTTCTTCAACCCTGAAATGATGTCTTCCACTGCAAATAACTTGATCGATGCTACTCCAACAGCCTATATTAACTTAATAATCTTTTATACTTCAATTGTGTTCCAAATAATCTCAAAGCATGATTTCACAATGTAGGATCTAAAATCTTCGCATTCAAATATCACATACACAATATCCTTTAGAATGCCAAAATTTGAAAATTTAGCTGCTAGATCTCTGTAGAGAATGCAACTAGAAATCAATTCAAGTAAGGGCAATAAATATTCATACTGTTTTGAATAATGCTGCATAGTAAAGATGATGTTCTCAATCAAATTGGATTAATTCAACGCCCTTAGATTCTAATAATATTGAGAGATATAATTACTCTTGTTCCATTCTTCAAAAGGTGTTGCAAGGGGGACAATTCTGTTTACTTCTTTTATTACTCAAAGGAGGCTTCCTCTTTCATTATCTCGCTAATTCCTTCTTCTGCAAAACATTTCAAAAACTTAATTACTGGCATTCGTAATTCAGGCTATTGACTACCTGATTCTTATTGAGGACTATAGAGCACAGGCTTCAAAGTATCGAGGAATTCACTTAATTTCGGAACAAATTTCAACTAATCTGAGGTTCTTAATTTGATGAATGGAACAGAAGCAGTTTCGCAAATTTTTTATATGGCTGGTTACATCAATGCGTTGTTTTCAGCAATAGATAATCTCAATATCTCAATCAATTCTTGAATCTCCTCCAATAAGAACCCTCCTGATCTTTGTCTACAGAATCTTACGATGGCTTCACTCTTTCGATCAGTCAATTATTCAGTGTAAGGGGAATGAAACATTTCCAGCACTTGTTGAATAGACAGGCTTTCTTTTTGGGGTGGTGAAACCTCCTTTAAGGATCTACTAAAACCAAGTTTAGTGTGTGTACTCATTGGAAAATTATCTTTATATTATTTTATTTATACTCTCACTTTGTATGCTTTTATAAAAATGATCTCATGCAATACAGGTTAAAGTAATCAATATTTGGTGAGTAAAATAATTTGAATACATTTGATCATTGCATGATGAATCTGGAATATCATAATCTTGATAGGGTTTTTATTAAAAACAGAAGCTTAAATTAGGAAATAAGGGAAGAAGCCAAGTAAGAAGAAGGTGATAATCAATCTGAGTGGAAAGATTTATCATCGGAATTTAAGTAATACCTGGGGTCTTTAGTTGAAAAAGCATATGATGAAAAATTTCATTCTTATAAATCTGCACTTCTCAAGATTTATACATCTAAAAAGCATAAAGACTTAATAGGCATTATCCAAAAATGCTGAAGACATCCTAAGAGTATAATAATAGCAGAACATTTATAGAATTCTTATTTAAAGTAATTATGATTCACCCAATGGGAAAATAATTGTTCCACCAATTTATTTCTAATTATACAAAGTGATTGAATTAGAGATATAATATCCTAAACATAATAACCTATTAATTTAATGGGTATTATTGCTTAACAATATACATAATATATGTAATATACAATATTATTATTCATTTTTTATTTTTTTTAACAACTTAAGGATTGCCATCGCTATCAATGAAAATTTCTGTGTCTAAATCATCTTTCTTAGATTCCTTTTATTTAATAGCTTCCTCTCTATATGCTCCCACTTCTTCAACGATGGGTGTATTACTAATTTAGGATTGTATGAATACATTTCAGAGGTTAACAACACATTTAAAATCTTGTGTTATCTTTCGACAACTTCCTTTGGGTCTCTTAACAATCCAGAAGATAAGAGACAGCCATCCAATATCTATTTGCTTGCTAATGATGCAATAACTCTATTAGATTTTCTGACTTTATTCAAGTTAACAATGATTGGATTTTACACGTTGATCTCAAGTGTTAAGTTTTTCAAATCATCCTAGAATATATATATTATAGAATACAGTAGATTATCCCATAGCATGCATGACTTGTCTCATTCCTGATGAAATTGCAGATACTATGATAGCAGGGGAAGTCTTTAATCTTTTTGAGATTTGGACTTAAGAGATAATGGGATTCAATTCATTCTTTAACCATAAACAGAAAGGTGTGATTTCATCATTAGGTATTGTTGTTTCAACATTAGTTTCCTCCTTCTTTTCATTTTCTTCAGTTGATTTTTAAGCAACCTTGTCAACTTCTGCTTAATCACTTTCAATGTTAATGAATTTTTTTGATGAATATTCATTTATTTATTTGAATACGACTTCATCCATGTGATTCATAGTCAAAATGACAGGAATTTCTGAATTAGAAAAAGGTTCCATGTATGGTGATGTTAGAGCTTATTGTCTTGTTGGAGCAAGATAGTAATAGATATTATTGATGCCTTAAGGTAATTTAGAAATGTAATCATCCAAAGAAATGAAGTCTTCAGATTTGTTTGTTTAGAATCTCAATAATTTAGTCATGGAGTTTCTATGTTCATCATCCATAGCAACTCCTTCTTTAATGAAGTTCTAAAAGTCCTGATACCATGCAAGGTAATTGGCAGGATCTTTGAGTGCTTCTGATTCAATTTCTTTGATAATTCTTTTGGCAACCACGGATTTGAGTTTAGCAATCAAGGCTGAATCTTGATAGCCCTCTCTTGAAATATTTAAGGGGAGATCTTCACAATCCACAACTCCTTTGACAAATCTAAGGAAATGTGGTAGGAGTTCTCTGCAGTTCTTCTTTATTAATATCTTCTTACAAAAAAGACTGATATCGAATTCTTCCATTTACATGCCGTATCTAGAAATAACAATTAAAAATTTACTTCTCCATATGTGTTTATGGAATGTACAACAAGGCTTTGATTGATAGAGGAGCATCTGTAGAATAATGAAGTTTGTATTTATAAGCAAGTTTAGAATTCGAAATGTATTCATAGAATTTATTATAGTCTTCTGGAGTGATTTCGTTCTTGTTTCTCACCCAAATGGCTGATACAATGTTTTGTCTCTCTCCGTTCACAACGATTGGATAATTGATGAAATTAGAGTATCTCTAAATAGTCTTAAGCACTTCAGTCTTCTTGCTGAAAACAGCTTAATCTGGTTTGAGATGGATGGTTATTTTAGTTCCTCTTCCTTAGAAATAATCCTTGGCTTCTGAAATTTCAAATGTTCCTGTTCCATCTGATACCCAAACATAAGTCTTATCTGATCTTTCACTCTTACTCACCACTTCTACGGTGTCTCCTACAATAAATGAGGAATAGAATCCAACACCAAATTGACCAATGATCTTATCATTCATTTATGATCCAACTTGTTCTAAGAATTATTTTGACCCACTTCTTGCAATTGTTCCAAGATTGTCAATCATTTCTTGTTTTGTCATACCTATACCAGAGTCCTTTTGAATATTATATACTCAATTACTTCTATTGTGATTGTTCTCTTTTATTCATCTAATTCAACCTTTATTTCTAGATCTGATGGAACTTATTCGCCCTTTTAAGTTGCCAAGAATCTTTGTTTTTCCAAGGCATCTGAGGCATTGGATAACAATTCCCTTAAGAAAACATCCTTATCAGTGTAGATGGACTTGGCAACTATGTCAAGCAATTTCTTGGTTTCTGCCTTGAATTCATGCTTTTCTTATTTAGCCGAGCAAAATCTAAAGACTAAACGATTGTTTGTGCTAAATAACTTAGATTGTCTTAATAGATAGTTGGAAGAGAGACGGATGAGTCCTTTTTTCATAAATTAAAATTATTTGTGGTAAGAAGCCATATAAATGTGGGTTTATAAAATAAAATGAAATATTTAGAAACTCATTATTTAGTTTTCTCTTTGATTTCATTTTTCTTCTCAAAAACTATTCCACCATATCTCTTACGATAAATAAATAACTTTTTATAGTCTTTTGAATACATTATTCGATGTGCCTAGAAATTCGAATTGAAATAATTCTTATCCTTCACCCAAGCATTATTTTCGTATTTGTAGCACTCTATTTCCAAACTAGGCATTTAAATCATAACAATAGGTCCCATAAACAAACATTATTGAGGCTCTTTAGTGAAAATCCCTGATATTATCTGCTTCTCCAATTGGAAATGCAATGAATCATCCATCTTGTACATAAATAGATCATAAATCGTCATTATTATTAATCTATTCTTGAAGAATTGCATAAAGAATTCCTATTCCGCCTTTATGCTCTGATACTTAACCCACATATGGTTGATTTTCTTTATGAACACTACATGTTATTTGGACTTTGCAGCAATCACACTTTCATTCTCATGAAAAGAAGCTATGGTGGATTCCAAAGGCACGCATTACACTCGAGCGAGTTTGCGCTAAGTATGATTGTAATCCCATATTAGTATGTTCCTGATATGGTCGACCATGAGCATGCTTCCGCTTAAATTTATCGACAGAAACTTGCTACGCGAATACAGTTTAAGACTCTATTGAAAGGTCCAATTGCACTTGTGTCCTCTCTGCCAAATCTGTATTTTCATCTCATATCTCTGATCAACTTGAGAAAAGAAGAACTTACGACCGTTCCCATTTAATTATAAGAAGTAGTCTTCTTATTACGTAATTGAAGTTTAGGGAATCACTTTCAATGATGAGGTCCATTGCCAGTCTTTCTCTTTCACCAAAGAAAAAGTAAATATCTCTCCGTTGCAAAATACTAATACAATCTGACCTTAATAATCAGTGGCTAATAAAACCTATCATAATGTATATATTAACACATTTCCAAAGTATTGGCATAATTGTTGCTTATTGATGAAATTATTTTAAAACAGGGATTCATCCATTTATTTTAAATAAAATAATCTCTATGGGAAACATCATTAAAAATGATCAATTCAAAAAAGGACTCTAAGAATTGCTCTAAAACAAGAAATTCAAGAGAACCCTCAAAATTATCTACAAGGAAAAAAAAAACCAAATATTAAGTGTACAATCATGCCAAATTTTTGACAACGACTTCTCCATTAAACAACGTTTGGATCAGAGAGAAGGAATGCCTATCATCTTCGAACACAATTGCAAAATCCTTTTGGATGTTACAGAAAGACAAAGATATTTTGATTCTTGCACTCTCTGCAATAAAAAGATAAAATGGGATCGTAGTCTGAGCTTCTGTCCCAATTGCAAACAAGAAACCACATATCAGCTTGCATACTGTCTCGTTGTTAAAATTATTGATCAAATTTCGGAGGATAATTAAGTCACTTATAAAGCAACCATGTTTGGAGAAGCAGCCAAATATTTGGGTATGAAAGCTTATTATACTTCTTAGGCATTTCAGCTAAAGATTTCTCCAACATGAGTCATGATTCACAAAACGATTATTTAAAAAACATAAATGAACAGAAATCCCACATTGTACATTCACTTAAATTGGAATTCAAAAAAAATTTAGTCATTCAGGAAATTTTAACTTAAGCAATCTAATGATGATGGATCTACCATAAGATTTGAATATTAATATAATAATATAATAATGTTATTTTTATATATTATGTAGAATGATAATAATCTTACAACAGTCTTATATTAAATGTTATAAAATCATGCTTTAGCAATTCTTCCATTTAAGAAATCTAAGAATGGTGGAGTTTGAACCACTTACAATGCTTTAGCTAAGACTGCTAATTCTTATTGGACGGATGACTAATGGAATATAAATATATAAATTTACCACAATATCATCATGAATTTTAAGGTTGGCTGAATAATTATTGTTTTCAGTTCTCAATCTATCTTAATAAGCTTTAAGATCAGCTTCTCTAGTTGAGATCAGGGTTTCAACATCAGAGATTCTAACTAAAGAGATGATAAGATGATATGATACCTGTTTTATCTTCTCTTTCTTAATAGAAATCAGCATATTATTGATCAAACACTGCTTTTTCAGCTGTCAATTATTATCTTCTTAATTCATCTTATTATTTTTGACTATCTTCATCTTTATAAGCTTTAGTCAAAGCATCAAAGATATTCAATCTTAAACTGTTCAAGAAATCACACATTTCCTTTAAAACTTATCTATCTTTGAAGTTGAATCCTTCAGTCAAATTAGTCAATGCTTAGATGAATGATGAATATTAATGACCAAAATTCTCAGTATTGGCTTTGACTTATCTTAAAGCTTTATTGACTTTGTGTTTCTATTCATCAGATACTTCAATGAATGCAGCTCTTACTTCTCCACTTTTGAATAGATCAGTTAATAAATCTAATGCTTCATCAATATTTCTTAAAGCATCTGTAAATTCAGTTGTAGTCAATACAAATGATTCATGTTAGGTATTTCTAGCAGCTTCAGCTTCTTTGAATGATTAAGTATTATCTGTTTATTTGGCTTTGAGTCCTAATAAGATCTATAATTTGTAATTATATTTATACATCATCTAATTCATGAAGTCTTGGTATCAATTCAGAATTCAATACTTTCTTTTCTCTATTGATATCAAATTCAGCTTAATTAGCTTATGAACTGAGTGAAATAACTTTAGCATTATGTTCACTTTCAACAACTTCCCATTGTGTATTTTCCAAATTCAATCTCTCTTCAATTTGACGACCAAAGGCTTTTACTCCTTCTACTAATGAATCTACGGCTCCAGTAACTCTCATTGTAACTTCAGCTAAATCAATAACCATATGTCCAATCTTTGATTATGTTAATTCATCTATTGAAGATTACAGACCTGGATTAACATATGAATCCATAACACCTTAATTACTTTATTAGTTAAATCATTAATATCTTACTTTGTAACCGTAGTTGCTGAAACTAAGTACAATAACATCACTGCACTATATAATCTTTTCATTTAATTCGTTTTTGTAATTAATGATTAAATAAATTTTCATAAACACAACTTTCTTTTTATTTCAAAATTCCTTAAGTAATTTTGATCTAAACCATTTTCCTATATTATATTAATTGTTAATTTTCGATTACATTTATCATATAATCCTTCTTTGCTAATAACACATTTTTGGTGATGAATTGCTGTTAAAAATTGTTCCTTAATGTAAAAAACACCACATTTTAATAGTTTTAGAAATTAGTTGTAAACATTTTGGAGTTTTATTAAACTTAGATTCCGCTATAAAAAATGTATAATTTAATTCAATTTAACCTAAATTACATAACTGGTATAGTTTGATATAATTGAAGAAGAGGAATTAATATTTAAATTATTTGATGTTAAATCTCAATCTTATGGTCTTATAAACGTATTAATTCGTTTAATTATTGTAAAGGCTGATAATTTCATAGCTAATTTCAGAAGAATCCTTTTATTGTCCTAGTTATATTCAAAAATTAAACTATTTGATTAATCAAGAGTCATTGTATATTTTAAAAATTTTTGTTTAAATTTATGGACAATAATATTGTATTTAAAGTAATGCTTAAATATATAGAAATAAATAAAATAATTCGAAAATAATAAAAAATAACTCAAATCAGAACTATAGTATTCAGTAAAATTCAAAGAGATAAAGACAATCTCCATTTAATGATTCGCTAATTTCCATCGTCACTCATCATTCCAAATTCTATAAAAGTAACTCAATAGAAACAATACCCATCCCCTATTAAATAAGATTTTATGATGATGAACATGAGCTATGATAAAAAAGTTTGAATAATTGCTTCCATGACATTTACTGGGTGTAACAATAAAGAAATTAATCTGGAATTGTTTATGAGTAAAATCATTCAATCTCAATAATAAAGGATAGAAGCTTAAGAAAAAAGTATATATAACCCTAATTTGCTTATTGAATTATTTTTCCTTTTAAAAGATTACTGAATAAAGCATGCCTTTTAAGATCCTTCTGTATTGAATTGAATTCAATTATATTCTAACTTTTGTCATCTAAAATTTAGTCTTAAATTGAAGCCTCTTATATCTAAATCTTATGTTATTATATTAATTGCCCATGAAAGGAAGTTAAGATAGATTTGAGATATAATATTTATGAGACATAATTTAAGTATTGAAAAAATTGTTATGGATTTTTCATAAGGCTGAAAAATTGTTGTAATTAATTATGATAAAGTTGATAAAAATATTATAATATATTTATAATAATGTTCATTAATTTAGAAAAAGATTTAAAGGGCTTACAAAAAAAGAGTTAGGAGTATCAAGAAATCACTCAAAAATATCTGGTGGCTGATTCTGGAGTGAGAGTGATGAACGATGCATTTAAATAAATCTTGAATAAGAAAAAAAGTAATTTGTAATGATTTAAACAAGGCAAGCAATTTTTTTGTAAGAATTGTCCAAAGAAGTTTTTATCGTTTCCTGCATTGAAGGAGCACGCAAAAAAGAATCATGGGTTTTAGCCACTTCAAAATGGGGAAGCTAGAAAGAGAGGGAGACCCAGGAGAGATGTAATTAAGCCAAGCGATTAATTTATTGAGTGGGAGAAAAATTAAGGATAGTAATAACCAAAACCAAAGAGACCCTCCTCTCTGATCACATTAAGATTGGAGTCAATTAAGGAATTGGGCTTTGGAGGATTTTTGCGAGTACATAGTAAAAATAAAATTAGGCACCTAATTTACAATCATATCCGTCAATAAAGGACTCCATAACGAGTTTAATAAATAAATTAGAGCCTTAATTAGAGGAGAATTATATTTTGATAGGACTTGAGGAAATGAATAAATATTATGAGGAGGATCAGGAGTTTTATTTGGAGAAGAATTATAATGTTAGTTAATTATTGGTTTCATTTCTAATAAATTTGACAATGTAAGTAAATGATGAGTTGTTGAGAGTGTTCATCACTTTTACAAAAGCAATTTATTTTTTCATCGATAATTTTGCTAGAGATATTTTATTTAAGTAGTTGTCTCCAGAGGAATATGGGGTAATTTGATTTTCTATAAGTAGTTGATTCCACCAATATGTCCAAATAAGAAATTTCATGAGTTAATGACAATATAAACATTCCCATTGATATTAAATGACTTCTTGGAGTTTCTACCAAACTTTTAGGAGGCATTTCCATTGCCTTTTGCATCAAGAGTGTTGAAAGAGATCTGCGATTGGAGCACAGCAGAATGTAATGGATTTAAAGTGTATTTTAATCTTTGAAAATATATATATATATTATGATTAAGAGTCAAGCTTACTTTTTATGAGGGAGAATGACTTTTGATTGATTTTAAACCATAACTTTTTTTGTAAAGATTGAGAGTTCATCCAAGCTTTTTTTAGAGATTCCATCGATAGATTATTTGGCAATCTTTCCTTTAGATGTTCGTTCACAACTTCTTTGTTCTTCGATTGTTGTTGTGTTGAGTGATTTTCTAATGAGAATCTTTTTGATTAGTCTATCTACATTTTGATTATTGTTGTCAATCTCTTCGATGATTGCGAGACAAATCTTAGCTGATAATCGATTTGATGGATCTGTTTCAAGCATGTAGGGCAACAAGATAAAGAGCTGCTCCATTTTTACAGAATTCACTTCAGGATGCTAAGGTTGTTTCTTTAATTCGAAATATCCATCTTTGTTGGCATGATAAATAGTTTGTTTAGCTGATTTAGTATTGAATAGATTTTCACCAGTTAATCTAATATTTATATTTTGTTGTTACAATTTGTAGAGTAGACATCCGAGACTATAGATGTCAGCCTTCTCATCGTATTGCTTATCCTTATTATAATTAATGATTTCCGGAGCCATATAGCCAGGAGTGCCTGAGGTAGGAAAATTCAATTGGTTTTTTATTTTCCTCGCCAGTCCAAAATCTATCAACTTTACTGTGTCAGCTTTCATGATATTGAGTGGATTGATGTCTCTATGCATCACTCCCTTATCGTGGATATATGAAACTGCTTCCAACAATTCCTATGAGTTAATTTCAAACAGCTTTACTCTCATAATTTTGATGGTTTCTACTATCGAAAGTCCATACTGCCGACTGGATAGTTCTGAATATAGGGTTCTGCCATTGATGTATTCCATGATTATGTAATAATATTGATTGTCTGCATAGGTTTCTTTTAGTTTGACTATGTTTGGGTGGGATAGAGAAGATAAGAGAGAGAGTTCGTGCACTAACTATGGCTAGATAATTTAATATTGATAAGGATTCTTACAATTCCACCCTCATGTTGAGCAATCTTCAATTTATCAATCTTTTTTATGGCATAGTATAAATTAGCATTGTCAGCAGCTACACATCTGTATACAGATCCTGTCATACCACTTCCCATCTCCATCTAAAATTGATAAAACGAAAGGATCGGCTGATAAAATATTTTCCCTGCTATCATTTCTTTTAGTAAATTGAGTTTTTATCCATAGACTATCTTGTAACCATTATTATATGAAAATTCGAAGCCCACGATGCGTTTTACTTCCAGAATCCACTTTATTGTAGTAGTGAGATTCATCTTGAGATTGTACTTAGGTTATTTAGTGATGTCCTATTCAATCTTGAAGTACTTCATACATCTGTCATAACAAGTTCATCATTGAACAAATACAGAGAATAGTTTTTATCCTTGAAGAAATGTTTTCTTGTAACTTAAACAGTGAAAAGAGCGTTCTCATAAGATAACATAATTATATTAATTCATAATTAATCATTCATTTGCTGACCTCTTCAGTCTAAATATAGATCCTTTATCAATATTTCAACTAACACTTGTTACATAGGAATATCTATCTGATTCTAGATTTCTTAGTATCTAATCTTAGTATATCATCTAAATGGCAAACAATTTATTGTTCCTAAATTCAGCATCATTAATAACTCATAAATTTTTTGTCATTTTTTTAATTTAAACATAACTCAGAAAATTTCTTAAATCAACTCATGTTAATTATATCTATTAATATTGATAATATTATTCGAAGGATTATCATAAAATTGTTTTCTAAAATATAATTTTAGATAACATTAAAATTTATAGAAAATCAATTGATTTGATTTTGATGCCAACTAATCGAAACATAGAATTAAATTGAACAATAAAACAAAAACTGAATTTTAAGAAAAATTAATTAATGGTAAATGAGAAAATATTTCTAATTATGCTATTCCCCTTAAATTAAAATATTAGGTTAATGATTCTACTTCCCAATTTAACTTAACTATATCTAATTTTTATAACATAAAATAATATCTAATTAAAAACCATAAAATTTGGCATCTAAGTAGAGCAAAATTAAATGCGAATAACTTTAATTACAAAAATGTTATTTAAAATCAAAGAAGAAATAATACATAGGATATTATAAATATTAATATTTTTATTATTCTAATTAAAACTTCATCATTAGGTGCAAAAATAGTATACTTTTACCTGTAAATTAACTGATGAGTAACGAATCCAATCATCCTTATAGGATTAAGAAAAGATATCTTACGCACATTAATAACACTTACAATTTTCAATAACCCCAAATATTATTAATTTTGGAAATTCTTTTAGTCTTAATTTAATACATATTAGTAAAAGCTAATTTCTTATAATATTTTTGGATAGTTTATAAATAATGAATAAATTCTTTCATTTTTGAGAATTTTTTATGTTTAACCAATTTTTGAATCATATCAGAAAAGTCGATCAATTTGGAGTAGTCTTCTAACCTAAAATCAAATACTCAACAAATGAGTACAAGACTGCTGTGGGCGGGATAATGTCAATCGTTCTTTATGGGTTGAGTTTCAGCTATTTGATATATAGCTTTGTGTAGTTTGGCTAAGGGTCTATTCTTCCAAAAATTACATCAATCCAAGCGAAATCAGACCAATAGAGTGTATCTTTCGAGAACGAAATAATGTCATTCAAGATCAGGCCTGGATAAGACAATTAAATAAATCCATTCGATCCAACGGCTCTAGTGCTTGTTCCATTCGTGATTCCATTTTTAAACAATGAGATACCTCCAAGTTAATATTTCAACTTCGAATAAATTTCATTCTAAGGAAATACAATATCCATTCGGAATTTGAATTTATAATATGGGGATCCCTCGTAAGATGAGATGGAACAAATCATTGCATTCGTAGGATGTAAACAAGCTGACATACAACCACCTTTCGCATGTGCAAATGAGAGTGTCAGAAATTCTTTTTTCGCTCAATCTAGTAATGCCATGCTTGCAACTACTTAAGTAAATTAATTCAATACGGATAAAAGAACTTTGGAGGAGGTTGGCAAAGAGCAAGTCTTGGCAATAGTCGACAATTCAACATATTTTTAAACCACTAATTTGAATATTTAAGAATCAACAGTTGATACGGGACTCTTATTGGAGTCAACTGAAAAGTATGTTTACGCTACAGATTATTATTTGACTAGTTAGCAAATAGATCAATAGTATTTTAGAAATACATTTAATTATGATGCCTATTTAGTGTTTTAATTGAGAATTGGCAAATTGAAATACTATTAGAGTATTCAATATCCAAAAATTAGTGAAATTTTAGCAGATGCAGGTTCTATTGCTTCTACAATTTTATTATTGTCTTATTTTGTCATTCTATGTAATCAGAGCCTTTTGGAGAAGCAATCCTTGAATGATATCATTTAGATCTATTATCCATCCTATAAGGACATGTAGATAAGAAGGACATTTTATGGTTAGATAAAGGAGGTGACTTATTAGGGGAAAAGGTAGGACGTAGACCAATTCAAATAGTATTAGAAAGAGTTGTAGGATAAAGCAGAGAAGAAATTAACTATTTTAAATTAAGTGTATGAGATCTCAAGATTATAATTTTTGGTTTAAAATATTTTGAAGTCGAAGGAGCAGTTAAGATAGAGTCACAAAATTGGGATTAAGTTAAAGTAATTTGAATTACCCAAATTGATTAATGAGGAGAACTTAAATGGCAATTAAATTGTATTTACATCTTTTTATTAGATACCTCATTCACAATTGAATTTGAATTGTTCGACCTAAAAGTTGGTGATAATTGATAGTAACAGTGATTCATTGTAGAATCTTAAGGTATCTTAAGTTGATAATACTTTAGAAACAACAGCAATAGAATACGATTGAAGAATCCGATGAAAATTAGTTAAACGATGAAGACTTTGATATTTTGATTCAACCTAATGAATTGGAAGAATGAAATTATATTATTTGTAAGAATAATATTATAAGAAATAATTAATTAAATACACATGTCCACTTTATAGTATGTGAGGGAAATCATTAGTAGGTAGATCTCGACTCTATCAAATCAAAGTGGAGAAGATAAAAAAGCTTTGGGTAAGAGTTAAACTTATTAAATTAGAATCTGAACCATACCACAATTTGCAAAAGTCAAGTGTGTTATTAGAATCTAGGTGTTTCAATGACCCTTAATTATAGGACAAGAAATGTCGACAAATTCTATCCAAATTGATATACTTGATCAACTAGGTATGTGGCAATAGTGATACCTCTATGATAGGGTGAGAAATTCAATGACCAAGAATCTTTGAGTTTATTCTTTGGAATTACCAAGCTCTTCTCTTCAAATAATGTGGATTTGAGGAGAATGATCTATTTGATGATTAAGGTAATATGTATGGTTTATATATTGTAGGAATTCAAAGATGAGAATTCTATGTATGTAGTAATCAGTTGTTTAGCCAAAGACATTACTTCCAAGAATGATCTCTTTAGAATTAATGCTCTGCGTACCCTTCCCTATGTTCTTGATCAATCCAACTTGGTTCAATTGGATAGATATTTAAAGAATGTATTGACATTGTTATTCACATCAAGGCAATCCTCGAGAAGAGTTAACCGATTTCAAGTGCTGCTCTGATAGCTGGCCTATAGATTTTCAGAATAAGTCCCGATTTCATTAGAAAGTGGACCAATGAAGTGGCTGACAGACTCAATTCCAAATATCCTCAAAATAGTTTCCATGCATTATTGTTATTACATGAGATTAAAAGCAACGACAAAGTCACATTCACTAAAATCCTCACTGGATTAACCAAAGAAACCCTTGTACCCATTGCCAACATGCAAGTTATTAGATTCATTAGAGAAATCCTCAATACCGATGAATTAGATTAGCAATATGAAAAAGTAAATCTTTCCAATAATCTACTTAGTTGTTCATTGAATATCTCTAAAGACAAATACACAAGTCATAAGAAATTGTGATTTTTGAGGCTTGCAAAGCATTATGTGATTTGAAAACCCTCTCTAATAAGGATCTATAACCCATGGTCTAAATTGTGACTGTCTTTTTGCAATCAAGCAATGTGATCAATAAGTTTGTGGCACTCAAAATATTAAACAGATTAATCTCAAATCCTATTAGAAGATCCCTTATCACACCCTAGCAAATCGAACCGCTCATCTAGGATTCCAATAAATCATTGTCTTCCTTAGCTGTTTCCATATTGTTGAAAGTCTGCTAAGAAACCAATATTGAGAGACTCTTAAATTAAATTTATGAATACCTAAACGACATGAGTGATGAATTCAAAATAGATGTCCTCAGAAGTGTGAAAGCATTAGCAAAGAATTCCCCTACCAAATGGAAACCAATTATTAATTTCCTTCAATTAACCTTCAAATGTGAGGCCTCCTAAGAATTTAAGAAGTATTCAATCGAAATCTTTGAATTCATTATTCACGAGATTCCTGAAGCTAGAGAAAATGCTATTATGGCTTTGGCCGATTACATTGAGGATTGCTAACAAAGTGCATTACAATTGAGTGTATTGAGCATCCTCAATAGAGAAGCTTCAAAAAAACAATGCCCAATAAGAGTTATTAGAATTGTTAATAACAGACTACATCTTGAAGATGCTGAAATCAGAGCTGCAGCAGTTGGCGTACTAGGCAAATTCTTACTTAACTATCCTAATGAAAAGGCAAACCTCCTTGAATTATTACAAGCAGCTTCCTCGGATCCTGATGAAGAAGTTAGAAATCGTTCTCGATTCTATGTCAGTGAATCAGCAGCACCCAAAGAGGAGAATCCCCCATTGTCAATAGAAGAATTAGATGCAATCGAAGCCTATTTGCAATAAAACATTCAGGAAATCTAGCAATCTAATGAAGAAGTATTACAGTTAGATAAGATCATGGCATATGCTGAATAAAACAAGGGAAAGATTAAGAAGACTGAGGTGTTACAAGAATTAGTGGAAGAGGAATTGATTTAAACTCATGAATCTGAATCTGGATTTGAGACCTATAAGAAATTGTTCAAGGAGAGCACAATCTTCTGTGATTATGGAGTACTTAGAAAATCATCAAGAGCATAAAATTTAACTGATTCTAAATGCGAATATTTAGTAACAGTGGTCAAACACTTTTTTGATAATCATATAATATTGGAGTATAAGGTAAAGAACACATTAGACAATGTTACATTGAGTGATGTCTCTCTGGAATTGACAATAAAGAATGCAAATCTTCAATTTGAAAGAATTGTGCCAGCAAAATCAATTCAACCACAATGTGCATCTAACATATTGGTTGGATTGCAATTCAATCCTAATTTGAGATTAGTGTCATCCAATATTCAAAGCATATTGACATTTACAGTGGATGAAAATGGTACCACCTATTAAGACGAATATTAGACTGAAGATTTCATCATAACTTATAGTGACTTCTTCTTACCTATTTAATGGTTTAAGTAAGGTTTTCATCACTATAAAATAGAAAATTCCAAACTGAATGGGAATCTCTTAAATCACAAGAAATGTCGGCTACATATTAGTTAGATTATAAGAATACTGATATAGCAATAAAGGAATTAGTGAAACATTTCGGTATGAATTTATGATTTAAACAATATAGGGTTTTAAGTTTGTGATAATTCTGATTAAATATAGCCTTAAAATAAGTTTCATACTTTATTACTGTCAGGCAAGTATTTGGATGCCAAGAATGCACTAGTGATATGTTAGATAGGATTTTAATAGAATATAGGATGTGTGTTAAAAATAAAGTGTAAATCAGAAGATGATAATTTAAGTACAAACATTGTAGAAACCCTTGGTTGATATTATATTAAATACATTTAATATGGTATAGATGGAAAACAATTAATGGGAATAAAAGAATAATAATAAACCTAAAATTTTACACAATTTGGAAATATGTTTAAATATTTCAATGTTTATGGTGTTTCCTAAATTTCATTAATAGATATTCTTACTTGTTATGCTTTCTAGATTTGCTTCTCTCTTTCTCTTTCTCCTTATCTTTTTTCTTTTTGCTACTTTTTTTCTTGCTCTTATCTTTTGAATTGTCTCTACTTCTAGATCTCTCCTTCTCTTTTTCTTTTTCTTTCTCCTTCTCTTTTTCCTTCTCCTTTTCTTTCTCTTTCTCTTTTTCCTTCTCTTTTTCTTTCTCCTTCTCCTTCTCTTTTTCTTTTTCTTTCTCCTTCTTGATCAATTTTTCCTTATTCCTATTAAACGTCTTTAGCAATATCCTCTTTAAATTCTTATTTCCTGGCTTCTTCCTCCAAAATCTTCTCTAATTACAATCTTCTTTATTATAGTTTTTATAATTCAACTCTGATAGTTGAAAATCCTTGATGAATTCTTCCATCTAAATGAGTCCTAAGTTTTAATAAAAATTTAAAAGTACTTGACTTTATTCTCAGTTTCATAGAGAGATTGCCTAGCTCCACAAACTTCACAGATTTTATAAGTCTTAAATGGGTTATTTGTACCCTCATATGCAAGTAATACATCTTCTCTGGCTTTTTTAAGATTATCTGCTTCCGTTATCAATCTCTCAGATTCATCAATCTTACCTAATTCTCCCATCTTCTCACTCTAATCCGTCAATAGATTGATCTATCTTTCCATATTGTCAAGTCGATCCTGGATCTCTTTGGGTCGATCAGCTACTTATAGTTTACTAGATTATTCAACTTATTCTTCATGCTTGGTTAAGATCTTGTCGACTTCCTTCAACTTGTCTTGGATGTAAGCTAACATATTTATCAGGTTCATACTAAACCTATTGCCTCTTCAATGTACTTCTTCTCTCTCTGCTACTTTTTGATACTCCTGTCACAACTGAACTCATTGATGAAGAATTGGTCGTGTCTCTTGCTGCACTCTCCCTCATGATCATATTTGGTATGCTTCCACAGGTCGTTGAAGCACTTGGAAACCAAGATATTTTTGCACACATCTTCATTCCAATAGTGATAATCATTCTTCCTCTTGCTTGCTACCACATTTCTATCCTTGCCGAATAGCTCGTCCAAAATGTAACGAGAATCATCACACATTCTTTTAATAAATATTTAAATTAGTTTCTATCTATATTGCTTAAATCATAAAGTCAATAACTTAATAGTTGATTCTCCAATAACCAAGATCTTATTCTACACAAGACAAAAGTCATAAACTTTGAAAATAGGTATCTACTTGCATTGATTGCTACTCAAATCCCATTCAAATAAATTCTATTTTTGGTTTATGATACATTTCTAATTCAAAAACAGACATTTATTGATGAGTTCCCCCTTGGTCTTGCAAATCTGACTCAGCTTCAAGTCCCTAATGATCCATTCAGACTGAGCATTCAGGAACAGATACTACTCGCTGAACTTCATCTACTTCACAACACTTGGGCGACAATCAGCTATGGAACATAATGAAATTAAAATACCTTTCTAAACCTACTGTTAAGTGTTGATGTCCCACACTTCAATTTAATTTTTGTTATTGAGAACATACAGCAAATTTTGACAAGGCATTCCAAAAACATCAGCATTAAACTATTATTAAAATTACACTTTCAAAAGCCTTTTAATATTCTCATCATACACACTGATTCCAGTGATTAGATTGGAATCATCGGTTCTTTTGGGTCCAAAGAGATTGAATTGTTATGATGGAGCTGGTTTGAAATCATAACTGAACACTGATCTATTGAAGTACAATTAACATGTCTTGTACTTCTCAACCAACATCTCCTCTTCATTGTACTCGTTGTTTAGGTAATTCCATTTGACAAGAATAGGATTGACACTCTTTGAGATCTTCAAGATGTACTATATGGGTTGAATTGTCTAAGAACATGACTGTCTTGATTTCCAGGTTATCAATTTCTTTTCTTCTTTCAAATTCCAATTTGTTGTCAAAGGGATAGATTTCAATCTCAATGTGAAATATGACCTCTTCATCATAAAGCAATCCACATTTTTGGATGAGTGCAATAAATTCTCCATTCGGACTTGAACAACAGTGCAATACCTATTTGACTCTATGCTTTGTAGAAGAATTGCTTTTCTAGATTGTTGTTCAATAGAATGAAATCTTTTTTGTCTTTATGTTCAGCTACGATGATTTCTGGATTCATCAATTATAATGAGTAGACTCCAGGACAGAATTTGACTTCGGCAGTTTTGATTTTGGTTCCTGTTTAAATGTTCCAAGAAGTAACGACAGCACTCTTATTGATTGAGAATAGATGATTGTTGGAGTAACATAGTCCGTGATGAATATCATCTTTAGAAGAACTCAATACAATTTGGACAACAGCTTATTTGTTTTTTAAGAATTTGGTGAGTACGATCTGACCATTGGACGCAAAGGCAATTGAATCATACGATATTGGAGTCCAACAAGTAACAGCACATCCATAAGTGGTTTGCAATTCTTCCAATACATCATTTTCAAAATCAACCAAGAACACTTCGCCTACTTTTTTTTGTTTTGCAAAAACTAATCCATTTTACAACATCAGGAGATCATCGCATTCGTCGAGCTTGTCAGATAAGATCTTTTGTAATTCGATGAGTTCTTTGGATTTGGGTGCAAAATTATTAAAAGTGGGTTCCTGAAGATTGGGTTTGCCTAGATTAGAGGTTCTCCAGAGAGTGATTTCGCCTTCATTGACACCTACAATTCTAGGTATGTATATGACACTACCTCGGATTAGTATGATCTGATACACAAAAGGCTGTAAGTGGTTATTCGATTAAAAATGTCTTCTTATTAATTTCAGGTTGTATCAGGAGTAGTGTGTCCCCGAAAATCAAATAAATTTTATCATGCACTGCAACCAATGAGTAAGGCATATTTTCAATCAAGCCCTTGTACTCTTTCTTTAAATTTCATTTCTTGGTCCCAGAGGGCTAAAGAATCAGATCCTGAGGTGTCACATAAATGCCCATCAAATGCAATTAAATTGTTCATGGAGGGTTCCAAATATTCATCTGCGATGGGAATCTAAAATTGGGGATTATAGAGTACTTGATCGAAGTGTTGGTCTTGCACAGTAACTTTGAGTTCAAGATTCAAGGATTCCAATGAGGTTTATTGTTAACTTAATTTTTTGTTGATGTGAAATTTCTTTTTTTTTGGAGCATCAATGCCAGGTGGAGGCCCAATTGATTGCTCATCGTCATCGCCTAATCCAGGAGGGGGATTCATAATATATTAGAAAATTCTTTAATTTAATTGTACACCATATATATATATTCAGAACAATATAATAACTAATACTATCATTAGTATTGCTCCATGATTTGTTTTGATATCAGTTTATATATTGATGCTATTACTACATTGAGTGCATTTCGATGTTGTAGTATTCCAATAAAAAGTATTCAGGGTATTAGCTCTACAGGATTATTGATCGTAAGCCTCTGGATTGGTCTCTACGCATTTGTCATCCTTAGAAATACAGAGTTTGATAGTTGTAGCATCCATGCTATAAATATTATGGCATTCTCTGTCCTGGAGGTCTTCGCACTCTAATGGAAGACAAGAAGTATCAGAAGTGATCTAAGGATTTTCGATCCATTTGCATTTCTCTGATAACTATTGGCATATCTATTTATCTAGATTACTATCGGAGCATTCCAGAACCTTTAGACATTAAAGACCATCCCAAGCACAAGTTCCATCTAGACCACCATAGTTACATGAAAATTTATTATCGTAATTAGCACAGACATCAATAGCAATACACAACTGACCATCTGAAATACAGTTTGGTAATTGTTTCAGACAAGTCTCATGAGTGTAACCATAAGGTATGTCACCACAGGAAATAGTTTTGCATTATTTTGTCTAATAAACACATTTGCCATTACTACTTTGAGCATGCAAACATGTTTGTTCATCCGTATAATCCTCACATGCTTTAATAGTAACACATCTTGTTGAATCAGATGTGCATCCATACAATTAAGCACTGCAAGCCTCATGAGTTTCTCCAACCAATTATTCACATGATTGATCTTTACATTCATTTTGAACAGCATCCCAAGTGCAAATTCCAGTTTGAGTTATGTACTTCTAATTTGAGTTCGATTTGATGACCTTTCCATTCGAGCTTATTTTGCATTGTTCCTTCTATTTATATGATGAACATAATAACAATGGAATGCATCCATTCTCTGCATCTGTTGTGCATTTCTAGGATGTTGAATAACATTGTTTATGAGTTAAGTATGGTAAATCATAACATGCCAAGAATCTTTTGCATGTACCTAAACTTTCCCACCAAATGCAGTCTCCATCTAAACCAATAACGCAGGCTTATTGAATTGTGTAATCAGCACATTTACTTAATCCAACACATTTATTACCATCAGTAGTGCAGTTCTTAGATAAAGATTTGCAAATTGTATCATATGAACTTGAGATGGTATTACAACCTGTATACAGATAGCATGTGCTATTGAGCCACTTACAGATACCATCAATACCTTTAAGACAAATGTCTTCTGTAATGAATTCTGAGCATTTCTTCTTGGTTGTACATTTGACACCAAAAATGGAAGAATTCTAAAAGGCACAATTGTAGAGAGCACATTCTTTCTCAGATGTCCCTTGAATGTCATCGCAAATTTACTCTCTGCATCTAAATGAATCCCAAATGCATAATTTATTATCAGCAGATGTTGTACACGCTGCTTATAATTATGCATTTTCACATGTTGATTTTTAAGTGCAACCACCTCCCAATCTTGTAGTACAATTACCTTTAGGATAATATTCTTAGCAATCCCTTTCTGTAATGTTGTATTCTGGTGAAGTAGTGCATGACTTGGCACTGCAATAAGAATATCTGAAGTTCCATTAGCATTCATTTCCATTGACATCTGTATTGCAAGCCTCTTGAACACGAGCATCAATACATTATTTTCTATCAATACAAGTCTTTCCATCAGATGTACAATTGGAGTTGTATTTCTTGCATTCATCATTAGTCTTGTATATTAAATCACTGCACTTTTAAAGTCTACAATAGACATAATCAGTATAGCAGAATTGATAATGTTGTTCACATAATTGAGCAGTGATGGCAGTGTCTGGAGCATTTTAACAAGATCTAACCTAGCATGTATTAGTCTTTGGATTCCAATAGCAAGATTGATTGGAAATGGTGATAACACACTGCTTCTCAGTTTGATATTGTTCACAATAAGTGCTTTTGAATTAACAACCATTTCCAATAGCAATTGTAGTGCATTCATTGAGATAGGATTGGCACTCATCATGTTGAGTGAATGACTTTGGAGCAGTCTGACATGATTTATTCATGCATCTAGTTCCATCCCAACCACATGGCAGATACATATTATTGATAACACATTGTCGTTCACTGATATATGTTGCACAATCTTACAAAGGAACACACCCTCCAATGCCTGAATGTATGACTGTGCAATCACTCAGATAAGCTTGACATTCCACATGAGTATCTCTTGTACTATCATATGCTGCAGTGTAACAAGACTTTACGTAGCATCTTCCACCACTCCATGCACATACATCTCCATTGGAACCAATAACACAAGACAATTCTGCTGAATAATTCAGACATCCATTCAATGTCATACAACCTCCACCCTGCTTTGCTGTACAAGTACTCAAAAACCCATAACATTAAGTGTGAGTTGTATAACTAGTTGGAGCATTTGAACATTTAATATCTGCACATTTACTGATGTCCACATTCCAAAAACATACTCCCTGAGCAGTATTCTTGAAACAATGAGACTCCTATATATAATCAGAGCATTTAGCAGCCTTTGTGATACATTCACCAATTCTGGCTACTGTACAAGCTGACAAAAATGTCTTACATTCGGTATCATCATCAAAACTTGCATTCTGAGTTGCATCTTCGCAGACTCTATCCTTACATTAAGTACCAGTCCAAAAACAAACAGTATTATCTTAACTTTTGATACATTAGTCTTAATTCGACATCATGGAACATTTCTAAGGCTTAATGACACAACCTGCATGTACATTTAATGCATCCACTGTGCATGTTGATAACCAAGTTTCACAATCAGTATGTGTGAATGTTGTACCAGTGTAATTTGCACATGTTCGATCCTGGCATTATCCGGATAACCATACACAATTCACTAAACCAATATTAGTTACACATTAATCCTAAGTCACTCCTTAATCCGTGCAATTTGTAGGTTTATTTACACAATTATTTGGTGATGCACCTGATTCAACGGTACAAGTTTCTAACCAAGTCTTGCAATCCGAATGAGTGAATGTAGTTCCTGTGTAATTGCTACAAGTCCTTCTTAAGCAAGTACCATTATACCAAGCACACTTATAACTACCACTGTCAATTACACATTAATTATATGATACACCGGCATTACTACAATTTGATTATAATGTAGTGCAGGTTGTTGGTTTATTTAATTAACATTGAGGTAACCATTTTTCACAATTACCATGAGTCCAAGTACTGATACCTGTCGTATTTGAGCAAGTCTTATCAATACATGCAGTATTGCCTGAATTTACAGTGCATGTTGATAACCATGTTTAACAATTTGCATGATTAAATGTGATTCCAGTTGCATTAGCACAAGTCTTAGCAGTACATGCAGTACTACCTGTCACAGTACAATCAAAGTTCCAATTTTAACAATTATTATGATTGAATGTTGTAACAAAAGATCCGTGATTAGTACAAGTCTTGGGTTCACATGCATTTGATCCTGTATTAACTGTACATGTAGACAACCAGAATTAACAATTACTATGATTGAATACAGTCACTTAACTTCCATGATTAGTGCAAGTTCTACTTGTTACACAAGATGCACCATCATCAGATACAGTGCAATAATATAACCAATTTGAACAATTTGTATGATTAAAAGTACTTAACCCATGATTACTACAAGTCTTATATTCACAATTAGTGCTTGTTGGTGTTAATTTACAATAACTAAACCAATTACTGCAGTTTGTACTATTGACAGTAAAACCGGAAGGATAATTTGTACAATGCTTCATTTCACATTTTGTAGTTGAATTATTGGTACAAGTAGGTAGCCATCCAGAACAAGTTATCTTAGTAAAAGTACTTAATTATGATCCATAGTTATCACACGTCTTGAGCATGCAACCATCATTTGAAATATTCACTGTGCAAGATGGCAACCAATTCTAACAGGTTTGGAGGTTAAATTAAGTAATCTGATTGCCATAATTACTACAATTTCTGGTACTCACACATTTAGTGGCTGAATAGTTTGGAGTGCAATATGATAACCAAGCTCTACATAAGGATTCAGTGATAGATCCTGAATAATTATCACATGTCTTATATTCGCAATCATAGTTTAAGTATGTACATTGATTATTCCAATTGAAACAGTTGGTTGCTGATAATCCCATAGCTTAATAGTTTGTGCATGTTTTATAATTGCAAGTGGTTTCACTTGCTTAAAATGTGCATTATGGCAACCAAGTTTAACAATTCGCATGACTTGGGGTACTCACATTTGCACCATGATTTTGACAAGTTTTATTCTTGCACGCTGTAGCCCCGTCATTAGTACAAATATCATACCAATTGTAACAGTTTGAGTGATTGAATGTTGTGACTTCGGATCCATGATTTGTGCAGGTCTTGGAGATACAACCAGTTGAAGAGGCATTGGATGTGCATGTAGTTAACCAATCCTAACAATAGTATTAATCATATTTAATATTGTATCCATTGTAACTTGATAAACATGTTCTTGAAGGCAGACACCCTGAAGAGTTATATGTACATTAATTGCCAATCCATGAAACACAATAACTACTAAATGAACTTGTAAATGCACTACCATAATTAGTGCAAGTTTTGAGTTCACATCCATTTGCACTTGCATTTGCTTTACAAATTGTTAACCATTATCCGCATTTTTAATTAGTTGTTGTTGTCATACCATGATTGAAGCATGTCTTATAAATGCATCCATTATTTGACCCGTTGACTGTGCACAAGGGATTCCATTACTCACAATTAACATGATTGAAGATCTTAATATTATCTCCATAGTCACTGCAAGTTCTCTATGAATGGCAGCCTCTCTGACTTTAACTTCTTGTGCAATGTGATAGCCAACTCTGACAATTTGCTACAGAGGAAAACGATGTTGAACTTC